GCTTGTCCCGGCCGGCCCCGCGTTGACTTCCGGCCCTTCCTCGCCGGCCCTACGACTGTCCAATCTGCACTCTCCCTGGTACGGTTCTCAACCACCTTTCACCGCACTGTACCGCACTGCACCGCACTGCATCGCATTGCACTACGCTGCACCGCACTGCACCGCACTGCACCGCACAGCACCGCCCTGCACCGCCTTGCTCTGCCCTGCACCGCATTGCACCGCGCTGTACAGTCCTGCACTGCCCCTGATGGCGGCGGAGCTTCGCTTCGACGCTAAAGGCCAGCCTCTGGAGTTCGAGGCGTGGCTTGCCGACCTCCGGCGCCAACTCACTGGCCAGCGGCAGGATGGTGAACCGCTTTCCGCACACCTTGACGGTACGCTCCCCTGCCCAGACCCCCCTGCTGTTCTGCCCGCTGACTCCGCCCCCACTGAGCGCGAGTCTACTGCCGCCACTGCCCGTGCGCGCTCTGTCTGGCTTTTTCGAGATGCTGTCGCTCAGCTTGCCATTAGCAATGCCCTTCCCCCGTCCGAGCGCCCCCGCTTTAGGTCCCTCACTACTGCCCAAGCTTACTTAGATGCTGTCATCAAGCGCTATTCCACCCCTCCGGCTGCCTCGGTGGGTCGCCTGATCCTCCCGATGCTCTTTCCTGACCTTGCGTCTTTCCCCACTGTCTCTGACCTCGCTGCCCACCTGCGCTCGATAGATGAGACATGGCGCGCTGCCTGCATTGACGCACAGCTTAGAGCCCACCAGCCGCCCATTACCTCTACCCTTTACCTGCTTGCCACCCGCCTCCCTGACCGCCTTGCTGTCGCCCGCGACCGCTTCCTTAGCATTCACCCCGCAGACCTCACCCTCACTGACTTTGTAGACACCCTGACTGCGATTTAGACCCGCCACCGCTCCATCGCCCAGGCGAGTGGTACCGTGCCGGTCCCTATCTTTCAGGGTTGTGCCCCCGCCCAGTGTACTTTCTCCGACGGCTCTGCCGCTGTGGCTGAGACTGCTGCTGCAGCGCAGTTTCGTTCGGGGAAGGGCCGCCGCCCCAAGGTTGGGCGCGGCGGAGGAGGCGGGGGTGCGGGAGGGGGTGGTGGTGGAGTCGGGTCGTCTGGTGCTGGAGCGGACGAGGGGACCCTGCCTAGTCCAGCTGAGCCGCCGCCCCTGCAGTGGCAGCAGCAGCAGCAGCCGCCGCAGTCGCCGCAGCCGCAGCCTTCGCAGCAGCCGCCGCAGACGCGGCAGACGAGTGTCCTCCCGCCGGGGTGGCCCGGCGCCGGCGGTGGTCGGGCGCTTGGTGGTGTGCCGAGTGGTGGTTCTGGAGGCGTGCGTTGTCAGTACCAGATCCAGACCGGTCCTCGCCGCGGCTTCGTTTGCGGTAAGATCGGTCATTCCACTCCTCGTTGTTTTCGTCGCTTGGACGACCTGTTTTGTCAGCGCTTCGGCCCGTCGCCAGACCTCCCGGACTGGCACAGCATGCTTAGACGTAGTATTCCGATTTTTGACTTGGACATGGATGCCATTGTTGCTCCTCTGCATGTGATGTATGCTGATGACTCTAGTGTGCTTCCTGCTTATTACTCACTGTCATCTAGAGTAGGTGTTCCTAGCTTAGCCTCCCCTACTGCGTCAGGCGTAGGATCCCCTGCTTTGTGTAGTCTTGGTGCTTCCGCCGTCGTTCCGACGCCAGACGCCTCTGCTTCGCTTTCCTTCACCTTGGACTCTGGCGCTTCCCGGTGCTTCTTCCGCGACTCCACTACACTGACGCCGCTTCCTGTTCCTGCGACCGTTTCTCTTGCTGACCCCTCCGGCGGTCCGGTAGTCGCCCGCAGTTCCACCACCCTTCCCTGTCCGGCGGTTCCTTCGGGCTCTCTCACAGGTCTGCATATCCCCTCGTTCTCCAGGAACCTAGTTCGTGTCGGCTGCCTCCAGGACCTTGGCGTCACCACTACGTTCCCTGGTCACGAGCGGTAAGCTGTCTGTACCGAGGCCGCCACTGGTGCCCCCCTGTCCACGTTCCCCCGGGACCCGGTGTCCGGCCTGTTCACTCTAGACACCGTGACCCCCCCGGCTGGAGCGCTCCCTCAGGTGGCTGCGTCTACCCAGGTTGCGGTTGCCTGCTCCTGTCGGTCCCTCACTCACCCGACTCTCCTTTGGCACCACCGCCTAGGTCACCCTGCGCTCCCGCGTCTGCGTCACATGTCCTAGCACGGTCTTGTCCTTGGCCTCCCAGGTTCACTCCCCGCGTTTCCCTCCTCCCCAGCCCCACCTTGCACGCCTTGTGTCGAGGGCCGGCTTCGCCGTGCCCCCCACTCCTCCTCGTTTCCCCCTACCGCCGCTCCGCTGCAGACCCTTCACCTGGACGTCTGGGGCCCCGCCCCCGTCCCTGGGCCGCGTCGAGAGCGCTACTTCCTTGTCCTTGTCAACGACTTTACTCGTTACACCACAGTCTTTCTCTTGGAGCGCAAGGCCGACGTGCCTGGCACCCTCATCCCCTGGCTTGTCTCTGCGCGTGTCCACCGCGGTCTCCCTGTCTTGCGTCTTCACTCCGACCGTGGTGGCGAGTTTGCCTCAGGTGTCCTCGGTCGCTTTTGTCGTGCGGAGGGCATCACCCAGACGTTCACCCTACCGGACTCCCCACAGCAGAATTGGGTCGCTGAGCGACGAATCGGTTTGGTCATGGAGGTGGCTCGCACCTCCATGATCCATGCCGGTGCACCCCATTTTATGTGGCCGTTCGCTGTGCGCTACGCTTCTCACCAGCTTAACTTGTGGCCGCACCCTCAGAAGCCGCAGGTTTCGCCGACCCGTCTTTGGACTGGGTCTCCTGGTGACGCGTCTGCGTTCCACGTCTGGGGCTGCCTTGCTCACGTCCGTGCCTCCGGCACGGACAAGCTCACTGCCCACACCCTTCCCTGCGTCTTCCTCGGTTTTCCCCTTGACGCGTCCGACTGGCACTTTTACCACCCGCCGTCTCACCGCTTCGTTCACTCTCGCGACGTCACATTTGACGAGCCCGTCTCCTACTACCGTCGCTTCCCCCACCGTGGTCCCCCGGTTACCCCCCCCTGTTCCTGGTCCCTCCTTCCCCGGTAGTCCCTGCCCCTCCTCCTCCTCCTCCCCGTCCTGCCCCCTCTGGTGTGTCCCACGTCACCCCCCCTCCGTCGGTAGACCCGGTTGAGGAGTCTTCTGACTCTGGTGGCCGTGCTGCGCAGTCCTCGCCGGTCGCCCCTCCCCCGGCGTCCCCTCCCCCGTCCCCTCCTCCACCGCCTCTGCCGCCGCTGCAGCCGACCCCTCGCACTTACGCTGAGGCGACCTCGGGACCTTGGGCCTCGCAGTGGATAGCTGCCATGGAGCAGGAGATGGCATCTTGGAGATCCACCGGCACCTTCGTCGACGCAGTTCCCCCGCCTGGGGTGAACGTAGTCGATGGCCGCTGGCTCTTCAAGGTGAAGCGCCCTCCTGGAGAGCCGCCTGTGTTCAAGGCGCGCTACGTGGCTAGAGGCTTCAGTCAGCGTGAGTGGGTGGACTTCTTCCAGACCTTCGTTCTACATCCTTGTTTACGTTGACGACCTGGTCTTCGCCACAGCAGACAGGGACGCACTGGCCTCCGTGAAGGCAGAGCTGCTGAAGAGACACACGTGCACTGACGTTGGAGAACTGCGCCGTTACCTTGGCTTGCAGATCTCCAGGGACAGAGCAGCGCGCACCATCACCCTGACTCAGTCACACTTGGTGCGCCAGGTCCTTCAGAGGTTCAGCCTTCAGTTCTCCTCTGCACAGCCCACCCCTCTGCCTGTAGACCACAGACTCTCCGCTCCAGTGTCTGAGGAGTCAGTATAGCCCAGCGGCCCCTACGCAGAGCTGGTGGGTTGCCTCATGTACCTGATGACTTGCACTCGCCCAGATCTCGCATACCCTCTCAGCATCCTGGCTCGCTTTGTGGCCACAGGCAGACACCGACCGCAGCACTGGTCTGCCGCTAAGAGGGTTTTGCGTTATCTTGCTAGTACATCGGGCATGGGGTTAGTGCTAGGAGGACGCAGGCCAGTGGTCCTTACTGGACACATAGACGCTTCGTGGGCAGACGACACTGAGACACTCAGGTCTACCCAGGGCTATTGCTTCAGCCTTGGCTCAGGTGCCGTCTCGTGGAGAGCTACCCGCTCCTCGTCTGTTGCCCAGTCCAGCTGTGAGGTCGAGATCTACGCTGGTGCCATGGCGGCACAGGAGCTCCGCTGGCTGACCTTCTTGCTCACTGACTTAGGTGAGCAGCCTAGCTCTGCCCCGGTTCTGTTCGCTGACAACAGGGCCATGATCCTCCTGTGTCAGGAGCCTCGACTCGAGGGCAGAGCGAAGCATATTCAGCTGCGATACTTCCTCCTGCGCGAGCTACAGCAGCAACGCCAGGCTCGCGTAGTACACTTGGCCTCAGGTGCCAACACAGCTGATATCTTTACGAAGGCGCTTGCGCCTAAAGATCATCAGCGGCACTGCGTACAGCTTGGTCTAGTTCCTGTAACCTCTCACTTGCTAGGGCCTTGACTTTGTACTGTCCTTTATATGCATACTCAGACTGGACTTGTGTCCTCTCCCAGTGGCTGGACTAGTAGTGCCGCCCTGGTCTTGTTCTTGCCTTGTCTCAACTCCGTCTGACTGGTCTTTTAGACCCTTGTCTCAGAGGTTGGACTAGTAGTGCCGCCCTGAGCTGCTTGTTCAGGTCATTCCCCTATGCAGTCTAGGGGGTGTGTCAAACATAAGCATAACTCATGTTTGTATAGACTGTATAGGGTCGCCTCTTAGAGGGTACAACACCCTTAGGTATATACCCTTGTACTCTCTCTCTATTCAGCAATTCTTCAGTTCTAAGACTAATTCCTTACAGTTGCTACTGCAAGTGTGGTAACCTAACCGACAATCGAGTTGCTGTGCAACTCGATAACCGTTCCTTCATCTGCATCTACAATTGCTTTATTTCTTATTTTCTACGGTATACATTGCTGTATGCTTGTTTCTTTTAATCAATCACTTGCTCTCACATACTAGTGCAAGGGTTCGACTACTCAACACTTCCGCTGCACCACTCAAGTATTCCATACAGGTGGGACTTATTCTCTGAAAAGATCCTAGCCCCCTTTTTCAGCCCAACACAACAGGCACCGATTTCAGATGCAATCCAATGTGATTGCAGGTGCAAGACCAAAACAGACACTACACAAAAAATGCAAACCAGCAGAGGTCTACAACCTGCAGCTCAAGAATGCACTCAAACAATCCAAAAGGCAAGCCATGCTGACCGGGTCACCTCGACCCAAAACCTAGAGTGGACGTTGTAGGCACTGGAAGTGAAGGCTTGCAAGTCATCCAGCCAGCCATGACTCCCCTTAGGGGCGAACTTCCGCTCAACCACTTGAAGCACTTCCCAGCAGCAAGAAGGGCCACAGAAATCAGCTGGCAGCAGCGGCCATGCTGCTGCTGCGCATGGCAAGGATCTTGCGGTGCTGGTTCGAGTGCTTGCTCTCCTCATACTCTGGGCTGTTGGCCGGCCGGTACTCGGGACAGAGCTTTCCCTTCTTGAACCGCACGCCGCAAGCATTGCACAGGGTCTTCGGCCCTGCAGGTCCCATCCTCCACTGGGGGGTCTTGGTTGACTTGCAGTGCACACACCGGCGCACGCCACCGCTGACATTGCTGACAAAAGCCGGCAGCGGCAGGGCTAGAGAAGGGATGGCGCTGGCGTTTGAAGTGCCCGAGAAGCTCTCGAGGCTGCTGGTGCTGTTCGTCCTGAACCATCCAGAGCCGGCACCAGCAGGACCAGCACCAGCTGCACTTGCAGCAACTGTGTCGGACCAGCCAGGGGAACCAGAACCCGAGGGTGAGTTCCACGCCTCAGCGGATTCCGAGGTGTAGAGGCTCGCACTGCTGGAAGAACCAGGCAGCAGATGAAGCACGCCGAGAGCCGTGGGGCCAAACGCAGTTGCAGCATCTCTCTTGAACTTTGGGGTGCGAAGGGGCCCCCGAGTTTGCCCAGCATAGCCATCGCTGCTTGCCCCATCGTGGTGGTCCTCCACCGCTACATACCGCCAAGTAGAAGCGGAAGCAGCGGAGCCACGCACACGCTTTGGCCTCCTGACGTCCTCCAGAAGGGCCTGCAGGAACGCTGTGCGCGGCTGGACCCACGAAGTTGCTGCCGCTGCTGACGCAGATGCTGACTGGGGCGCAGCGACAGCTGACAGAGAGTTGCACGAGAGCGCATGGGGGATATAGCCCGAGAAGAGAGAAGCGGACGCAGACGCAAATACGGTTGGCTCGGATGCCATGGACTCAGAAGCAGCTGCTTGGAGGCCGTCTAAATTTGCAGAATCAGCCACAGTGAAGCCCTCAATCAGGTCGCCGGGCCCCTTGCCCTCATCACTCGCGGCAGCACCAACTGATGCAGACGGCGCACTAGCATCAGTGCCAGACGCCTCCATGGAAACCCGGCGTCTCTTCGACCGCGGCGCCTTGGGCCAGCAGGTAGCAAGGCACGCGGCAGCGAGCCAGCCCTCCGAAGCTTCGGGTGAACTCAGAGAAGCCCACATTTCGTCGTCCTCCATCACCCCACTGAAATCCGCTCCCTCTTCTTGGCCAAATTCCGGGTACAGAAGAACCCGGCCAGCCAGCCCTCCCAAATGCAGATCGAGATTGTCGCCCGAGTGCAGACTGTTGCTCGAATGCACGGTTTCAAGAGGCTTGTCGCTGAGAGAGGTTGCTGAGCCTGGCGAGCTGCCATGCCGCCTCAGGACTGACACAGGGCTGCCAACACCCTCCTCCTGGAGAGACTCCAAAGAGGCGATTGTGGGGAGCTCTCCCCTGGGGGTTTCCAAAGACTCTGGTTCTGGGTCCTGAGAGGAGAATGTTGACCAGTCGTAAGGGAAATCAAGGCCACCCTGCATTGCCAGGACAGAGGATAAGTACAGGAGAGGTTTAGGGCAGCATTTGATAAGCGTGGGTCGCAATGCACGCGAGTCTGGTCTGGTTCATGCATGGTAATCGACTCAAGCAGGATAGGCAAGCAGAGGCGGTTGAGACGGAGAGATGAGGCGCGACTGACCATGGAAAGAGCGGCGGGAGGTAGCAGCTCCTCCTGCATCAGGTCTAAGGGCGCATCCTGAGGCACAGTCAGCGGCTTCTGGTTAATCGGGCCTGCAATGTCGTCATTGGAGAACTCGAGAATCTCCACCTCCTCCACCACCAGCTTGCCTTCCGACGCTCCTGGATTCGTCTGCTCCGAACTTTTTCCTTCACTGGTTCCTTGACAAGGAATGGCCTTTGGACTGGGCTTGTCCTCGGAAACCACCCCGTGCAGGTGCTCCTGACAGGAATTTCTCTGCTCTACTGCATTCCGTTCAAGCGCTTGACACTGATGTGAACGCTGCAGATGCTTCGACATTGCCTGTTAGTACGCAAAGCGAACGAGCAGGAGCATGAAAGTATCAGCACTTGCAGTACAAGCACAATGCACCGAACTTTTCCCAACAGTTACTCCAATGAGAGGCGTGGGTGGCTTCTTTTCTTCTCTTTGCCGTTTAAACCTCTCACATGTGCGAACAAATCTCCTCCTGTAAAATGCAGAATACAGTCGCTTGCATTCGGCGTACCAGAAGTGGAGACCGTAACGCGAAAAGGGGTTCGTGCTGATGCGAGGATTCGACCGACTGCCGATGACCACTGTCAGTCCTCCCGCCACTCCTGCTCCAGGGAACGCCAGCGCTCGCAGCACAACCCGTCGCCGACGGCGGGACTGACGGAACCGAACCTGCTCGTGACCCCCGAATGGCGACAGATGCGCGAAACAATGGCCGGTTCGCCATCGAGGATGAAGGGGGCTCGGACCAGGAGTAGGGGTGGTGGTCGGTAGGGATGAAAGCGCGCGGATGCGGTGGAGGAAGGAGCGGGGGGAGCTGACGAGTGGCGAGCTGACAGGGAGGTAGCGACGGTGGAGACAGGTGAGGAGCCACGTACGACGGGGTCATGGCTGACCAAGTCGCCTGCGGGTGACCACAGACAGGGTTGCAAGGAAAGCGAAATACAGGAGGTTGAAAAACCACGCGATGATGCAAGGTGCCTAGAATTTGATACCGGAAGCCGACTAGTGGAGCAGGGTCCCAGCATAGTTCGAAAATGTCGCCAGATAGGCTGTTCTGAACATTCAAGACATTTAAGGGCTCCAACAAAGCCGGTTCTTACGAAAGCACCATTCCCTCGGCTTACCTTTGACGGCAGCGCGTAGGTTCCCATCGGCACAGCCTTCCTCGCGGCAAAAGACGGCTCATTCGGGGCCATTGCGAAAACTTTAAACAGGACCACAGTTCTGTGTTTGGCGTTCAGCTATGCAATCTCCGCGCTGCCAAGAAAAGAGGCTCTTTCTTCCAAGCTCCACCAGCTGGTGGCTCTTACGGAGCTGGTCGGTTCTGGTCTTGAAGCTCGTCTCTTGTCAGGCGAGCGTCAGGCAAGGTTGAGTCAGCTCAGGACAACCCAATCAGCTGAGCTTTCAGGGTTGCCTCAGCGTTTTCTCTGCCTTGCCTGTGCTGGAGATTTGACAATTGAGTTGTGTTATTGGTTCAGGGCTGTCTCGGGCTCTCACATGTGATGGAACCCTGCTTGTGCTCCTTGCCTGATGCTTGGCTCACAGGGTTTTGGGGGATTTGGTCTGTGCGGCGGGGAGAAATGCTCGTGCGGAAATGTGCTCGCGCGGAGTGCTGTTCGCGGAGTAGTTGTGCTGGTGTCTCTTTGCCCGTGGCTTTGCGCGCGACAATGTGGTGGTCCCGGAAGGAGGGGAAAGGAGTGGGAAAACGTGCTGGTTTTTGGGGAAGCGGCGGAAGTCGCGGACGCGGGGTTTCGTAAGGAGGGCTTACGTGTCTGTGCTGACGCGGCGGCGCCCCACATGGTGCCCAAGCCAACTCGAACACAGTGTTCCCTCGTCGGTTTGCCCCACCAACACTCCAGATTTTTTTTCCAGAACCTAGATCTCCACGCACGTTTCGGGGCCATGTCGATTGGACAACACGTCATTCCCCCCAAGAATGTTTTTAGGTTCGCCCGGGTTTCCTGGCACGGGCTCCGTGATGGTGGGAGAAGCACTGAATGAAGGGTAAGGCATTTTGCGCGCCAAGCCCAGGGAAGCACTAGGAACTCACGGATTGGTTGTAATTCCAGCCTACGGCAGTGCTCCCTGAGATTCTTGCTACAGTGCGGTTTCGTCGTTGCTTCTCCTACACACACCCCACCTCAGCCCAGCCAGCGGCCATACGGAGGACGTGCCCATGCCATGCCATGTGTGCCACAGCGGACCACGGAGCGGTGCTCGTCGAATCTGCCAAAAGTGGGGACAGCCTGATCAAATCACTCAGATATGTTTCGTGTGGCCTATACATTTTTCTCTCCCTCCAGCCCCTTTGACTGACAGCCATGCGAATTTAGCCATCAGATGCGCTCCCACATTACCATTTCCCCCAATACATGCCTGTCAACATCCCTAAACAAGATCCTCCATAATAATAATCAAGAGTCAGACGGTCAGCCAACTTGTGGAAGCAACTACCCTTAAGGAAAAAGTAATGTCAGACGCACATTAGGAAACGAGGGAGAGAACAGAGGGGTTACTCTACTGTATCTAAGGCTCGAGGGAAGGGGGAGGACGAGTGAAAGTGGAGGACGGGAGGTGGGGTAGTAGAACATAAAAGAAAGATGAGGCTAGAGGGAAGAGTGTGGGAGGGAGAGGGGGCGAGAGATCAAGAAAAAACGAGACAGAGGGCAGGCTGGTGGGGGAGGGGTGGGCAGGAGAGGGGGAGGTTAGCAACAGGTGATGTTGCCCCCAAGCTAACCCTTGAAGTCCTCCTGCAGACACTGGAAATGCAGCTGACCCCAGAACCAGCCAGGACAGCAGCAGCCACACCCCACAGACTTGGGAAGGTCCCTCCCAAGGGCACCAAGCAGCAGCAGACAACAAGAAAACAGGCATCCTGGAAAATACTAGTACCACCTAACACTAACAGTCCACCTGCTCTATCGGAAGCACTGGGCACATCTGATGAGACATGCCAGTCAACCCAATCTTCCAGCCCCTGGTCTTCCCACTAACAGCAGTAGCAGCGGCAGCGACACCAGCAGCAGCAGCAGCAGCAGCAGCAGTAGGGCGGCGACTTGAGATTGCTTTGAGGCGCTGCTTTGACAAGCCTGCTGGGCTGCACCAAGTTCACCTTTCACCTGGCACCGCCTGCCTACCAGCATCCATCCTGCCAGCATCCATCTGCCAGCACTCCTGCCTGCATGCAACCATGCAGACTCAGCCACACACAATCCGATCCGCTGGGCCGTACTCCTCTCCTCCTCTCCTCCACCCCCTTCACCTCAGCTCTCTCAGCTGATCATTCCCTGTCCCCTGTCCCCTATTCCCTGTCCCCTATCACATCCCTTCAGCCTCCTCCCATGTACATCACCCTTTTACCTCCTTCTAGCCCTTCCCTTCTTCTATGATCGCCTATAACCCCCTTCAAAAAGGGCGCTTCTGCTTTTCCAGTGAGGCATTTTCTCCCCTACTTCTATCAGCCCAACTGAAACCGCCTCACCACACTCCCTTCCTTCCTGTCCAGCCTTCCACCCTCTCGGCACACTTGCTCCCCACACCACTCACTCAGCACACTTGCTCCCCACCACTCACTCACACCTTGACGCACTCCATCCCTCCCTCCCCCCACCACCCTTCCATCACAACGCTCCCATCGACGCAGCTCCCTCCATCCCCTCCCCACTCCCCCCACCTCCTCCCCCTCCCCCATCCATCATAAACCCCCCCATGCCACCGCCCATTCCCAGATCCGCATCGTCCATTCTCAGAGCACAGCTCGCCAGCCTTGTGATCGCCTGCTGGAGGCTCGGCTTGCAGAGCGCCTCTAACTCCTCATACAGCCGCACAAACTCCTCGTGCGTCTTCGCAGCCAGCTCAAAGTCCTCCTGCCGCTGCCGGTTCGCGGATTTCCTCGCGCCCGGCGTGCCCATCTGGAGTGCCGACGTCAGCCGGTTGGTCACGTCCAGGTGTTTCTTCCACGCCGCCCGGCACTCCGAAGCCTTGCTCTTCACCACCAGGCACGCCTCCTCCATAAGCTCCTTCCCGTCCTCCATCGCCATCACCGACCCCTTGAATCTCTCATCCGCCTCAGCCACCTTCCTCTCCTCCTCCTCTACGGCTCTCTGCGCCGCCGCTAGCTTCTCCTTAGCTGCATTCAAGCGTGTCGCAGCCGCGTCCGCCTGCTTCCGATCCTCCTTAATCTGCTTCTCCAGCTGCCGCGTGCCCTGGGAGAAACGCAGTAGGGCCTCCTGCTCAAGCCTCATCACCTCCTCCAATTCCTCATCCTGCTCCTCTCCCAACGACCCCTCCACCATGCTCCCAGACCCAGACTCGACCAGGGACAGGTCGTTCGTTCCCAGCTCCGACGATCCCACGGACAGCCTTCCCAGCGCCGACCCTCCCGCGTGGTTTGGGGCGAGAGGGGGCAGGTGGGAGTCGGACCCCATGCTGCCGCTCTCCCCGCCTTCCTCTAGCACCTGCGCTGGCTGGTGGTGCTGCCGCGACCGCCGCGGCTTCGCACTGGCCCTGGAGCTTCTACTAGTGCTGGACATCTCCCCCTCACTCATGTCCTGCCCTGAGGCAGAATCTACAGCCGACGACCGCCTCTTGCTCTTCTCCTTCTTCTCCTTCTTCTCTTTCTTCTCCTTGCTACTCTTCTTCTTCTCCCCATCACCCCCCTCCTCATCTCGGAAGCTCAGAGATGCTGTCGACCCAGGGCTCCGCACGTCCAGGTGATCGCTGTTCGACTTGACAAACTCCAGCCCACGGGACCGCCGCGTCGGGACCCCCGTCGACGGCCGCTGCTTCTGCATCGGGTCGTCATTTGTCTTGCCCAGATTCAGATTCGCCCAGATCGTATCCATATCCGCCGCCCCTGCCGCTGCTCCTCCCCCTTCGCCCCCATACTCTCCCCCAGCGCCTTCCCCCCTCATGCGGCTCTTCTCTTCCATAACTTGCACATCCATCTTGAGCTTCTCAAGCTCCTTTTTCTGCTTTGAAGACAACGCGCCTTTCCGTGACGACCGCTTGCCCCCGCTGCTCGATTGCCTCCCGCTCTCCACACTCATAAAGCTCGCCTCAGACCGCTCGGATTCACTCCCGGGGCTGTCCTCCCCCCCTCCGCTCTCTCGCGCCGACTCCACCGATCGCCGCCTGCTCACCCGCTCCTTCCCCCCTGCTCGTGGTATTCCCCCCCCGGGAGCTGACGACGCTGCTGCTGCTGATGTGGATGCGGATGCTGCGGCGGCAGCAGCAGCTGCTGCTGCTTCTTCCTCCTCTTCCTCGATCTGCTTTGCTGCCATTGCTGCTGCATGCGCTGCTTCCTGCCTTAGAGTTGCTGCGTCCCGCACAGGGCCCCCTGCTGCAACACCCATGCCGCCCATGCCGCCCGAACCAGTGGCGCCTCCTGAATGGTGGTCCTCCATATCGTCTCCAGCTGTGGGGTGCCATGGGCCCATAGCGAGGCACACTGTAACGAGGTCTTCTCTGCTGGTGGAAGTGACCTTGATAGAGTCACATAGGACAGAGGCAAGCACCTGGAGGGGGAAGGGGGGGGGGAAGCAGAGGTCGGGGGAAGGAGAGGGGGGGGGGGGGGAGGGGGGAAGCGGATAAGGGACACATGCAATGGAGGCAAGTGGAACGGTATAAACAGAAGGGAGAAAAGGGGAGAGGGGAGGCAAGGACAGGAGTGGACATGAGAGAAAAGGGGGGCGGAGAGGGAAGGGGAGGAGAAAAAAGGAGGGGAGGAGAGGAGAGGAGAGGAGGGGAGAGGGGAGGGGATGGGAGGCAAGGGGAGGGAGCGGGGGAAGCGGAGGAGGGGGGGAGAGGAGATGAGGAGAGGAGATGAGGAGAGGAGATGAGAGGAGAGGGAAAGAGGGCAAAAGAGGAGCAGAAACGCAAGGGGAGGAGAGTGGAGGAGAAGCGAGGATAGGAGAGGGGAAGAGAAGTGGAGAGGAGGAGAGAAGAGGAGAGGGGAGGAGAGAAGAGGAGAGGAGAGGAGAGGGGCGATGTGGGGGGGAGAGGGGAGGAGAGGAGGAGAGAGGGGGGAGAGGGGGGGAGAGGGGGGAGAGGGGGGGAGGGGGGGAGAGGGGGGAGAGGGGGGAGAGGGGGGAAATGGGAGGAGAGGGGGGGGAGAGGGGGGGAGAAGGGAGGAGAGGGGAGGGAGAGGGGTGGAGAGCGGGGGGAGAGGGGAGGAGAAGCGGGGTGGTGGACAAGTCCTCGAAGGCGCTGTACGGGGCAACTGTTTACACCTTGTTTTGAGGCACCTCAAAACTGAAAGTGGGAACACGTTGTTTTAGCAAAAGCTCAAGCGACGCAAGGGCAACGAAAGAGACCACGCGCTTTCAGACACCTCAGGAAAGCGCGCACTTCAGCAACAAACAAGGCACATACGCAACAAGGGCAGCAGGACCGCGGACGTGCCATCGTGACGAGCTGCACGGCATACTTTGAGCGCCTACAACAAAGTCAGGAGTGTCCTGGTGCACACTTCGTCACCAGTACACTTCTAAGGTCACTGGTGGAGGGAGGCAAGGCCTCGTCGTCATGTACACTTATGTAAAACGCTATTTTTTAGTCTAAAAAAAAGTACCTGGATGGAAAAGGTTATCGCCTTGAGCGCCTACCACAAGTCAGGGGCGTCTACTCGGAACATACAGGGCGCCTCCAGGTAAAACTAGAAGGGCGAGACCCAAACCACGATTCTTGCCTTTGAACGAGATCCGCGTACTACGTTCAACAGAACGAGACAGAGAGGGGCATCGCCTGTGGTTAAAACCCCACTCCCATGTCAAAGCCGATCAGTGCCGACTAATCACCCCCACTAACCAGTCGTCTCACTCAACCATCACCCGGCCGCTATATATACGTTCCTGCTAAAAAAACGCCTTCCTGCACCACGCGAAGTTCCCTCTTACCTGCAGACAGATCGCACCTCCTGCCACTAGGTCGCGCCGCACCTCTCTAACTCAACCCTCTCACCTGCAGCACGCCCAGCCCCAGCCCGTGAATGTCCTCCACGTCCAGCGCCTGCTTCTGCGCCATGACCTGACCAGCCCAACGATCGGTCACCTGCTGCACGCAAAGACCTACCCACTCAACGCGCCTCTCTAGTCCGTTCTCTCACCGGCAGCACGCCCAGCCCCACCCCGTGGATGTCCTCTCTCCCTTACACTGCACCCCTCTTCCCTCCCTATACTGCCATCGTCTCACCTGCAGCACGCCCAGCCCGAGTCCATAAATGTCCTCCACGTCCAGCGCCTGCTTCTGCGCCATGACCTCTGGTCCCCTCGCTTACCTGCAGCACGCTAAGTCCCCTCTAGAACGCACCGCTCTCAGCCCGATCTCTCACCTGCAGCACGCCCAGCCCCAGCCCGTGGATGTCCTCCACGTCCAGCGCCTGCTTCTGCCCCATGATCACGTCGCGCATGCGTCGCAGCTCGTCGCGCTGTGCCTCGCGCAGCTCTCGCACCGTCGCCAGGAACCGCGCGTGCATGGGCGTGCGCGCCAGCAGCGAGTCCCACTGCTGCGGGTTCGACAGAAACGCGCGGAGCAGCTCTTTATCTCGCTCCAGGAAGCTCGAGCTCTGGTTGTTGTACACGTCCCCGGGCCCTCCATCCGCTCCCGCCCCCCCTCCCCCTCCCGCGCCTCCGTGGGCGGAAGTAGAGGCGCTGTTTACTCCGCCCGCGGCTTGTTTCGAGTTGACTCTGTTATAAGCGCGCTCGCGGCTGCTGCGCTGCTCGCTCCCCGAGTCCGCGCTGTTCACTCCCCCCCCCGCCTGCCGCGAGTTTATGCGCGCAAATGCCCTCTCCGCCCGCTCTCCCCGTTCCCCGTGCCCCGCCCCGTCCCCGTCCGCGCTGTTCACTCCCCCAGCCGCCTGCCGGGAGTTCACCCGCCCATACGACCGCTCTCGTTCTCTCTCCCCATGGCCCCCTTCCCCATCCGCGCTGTTCACTCCCCCCGCCGCCTGCCTCGAGTTAACCCGCCCGAACCCCCTTTCCGCCCTCTCCCCGTGCCCATGCCCCCCTTCCCCGTCCGCGCTATTGACTCCCCCGGCTGCCTTCTTAGAGTTCACCCGCCCAAACGCCGTCGTGTGTCGCTCTTCTCTCATCCTCTCGCGCTCCTCCTTATGTCTCTCCCGCTCCTCTCTATGCCGCTGCTCGTCCTCCGAGCTGTTCACTCCCCCCGCCGCTTTTCTCGAATTCACTCTCCCGAATGGGGACGTGTGGTGCGACCCCCCTCCGCCTCCCCCTCCATCCGCGCTGCTCACCCCCCCCGCCGCCTGCCGCGAGTTCACGCGCGCAAACGCCGCCGTGTGGCGGTCCTCGTCCGCGCTATTCAGCCCGCCGGGCGCCTTCTTCGATATCACGCGGGAGAAGCTCGGCGGGTGCCCGCCGCCGCCGCCGTCCGCGCTGTTGAGCCCCCCAGCGGCCTGCCGCGAGTTCACGCGCGCAAACGCCGCCGCATGCCGCTGCTCCTCCTCAATAGAGTTAATCCCCCCCGTCGCTTTTCTCGAGCTCACGCGGGCGAAATTCGCGCCGTGCCCGCCGCCGTCCGCGCTGTTGAGCCCGCCAGCCGCCTGCCGCGAGTTCACGCGCGCAAAACGGTGCGCCGCCGCCGCCGCCGCCCCCTCTTCCGCGCTGTTGATCCCCCCCGGCGCCTTCCGCGAGGCCACCCGGCTAAACGGCGAAGACGACGAGGATCGAGACTCACCCCCACCACCGCCACCACCACCACCAGAACCCCCTTCTGATCCCCCCCCGCCCCCTCCCCCGCCACCGTGTCGGTCAATCCAGGATTTGGAGGAGACTATAATCTCCAGCAGTTGCTGCTTGCGCAGGCGCCACAGCCCCTCCTTGTCGCAGAACATGAGCGCGAGCAGCTGCAGCGTCTCGCGCTTCTCCTGGTTTAGATCGTCCTCCGTGAGATTGTGCGTGAACAACGCCTCGCGGAATTCCTGGGGTTGGTTCGGAGAGGCGTGGAGGAGGGACGGGAGCGGAGGGGGCAAGAGCGGAGGGGACGGGAGCGGAGGGGACGAGAGCGGAGAGGACGGGGGCGGAGGGGAGGAGGGAGAGGAGTATAGAGGACGGAAAAAGGAAGGAACGGAGGATGCTGGGTTTCGAGAATCCTCGAAACAGGTGAGGGAGTGGGTGGGCAGGCCGGCATGTGGAAACGAGCGGGAGGGCCAGTAGTGACGGAAGAGAGAGGAGAACCAATCAAAGAGGCTTGGGTGAAGGGCAAGGAAAGGGAAACGGGGAAAGAAAACGAGAAAGAGAATGGAAAAAGGCCATCGTTGCAGCAGAAGGGTTATCTGCATAACCGCGTACGCTTTGACACCGGCTCAAAAACGATGCCACAGTGTGCGCACTGAACCGAGCCGTAGCACGCAGAACCGCTAACCATACCCGTTCCTCCCCACCTCTTGCTGTTAAAAAAAAAAAAACGCGAAAAGTAGCACGCAGAGCGCCGGTACCTTGAGGATATTGGGATGGTTGGCGCGGACGTTCTGCATGTACTCGAACACGTAGAAGCGGTTGGACGGGCTGTCCTCCAGAGTGCTCCACGCGTCGCGGTGCTTGAGAAACTCCTTCACCGTGTTCACGTCCTGCGAAGTGAACCCCAGCTGCCGCGACAGCCGCCATGTCTTCCACGAAAACCCCTCGTCGCCGAAACTAAGGTTCGCGCCGGCGCCTCCCGCTCCTACCATGCTCTCGGACCCGTGCTCCTTGGCACTTCCCCCGATTCCTAGATTGCTCCGGTTCTTCTTCCACTTTAGGAGGTCTTTTCTAAATTTGGACGCGCTGACCTCCCCGTCCATCTCCATCTGGTCGCTATCCTCGTCCGCAACATGCCGCGAACGAGTCGGTTCGGACGACATCGATCTAGGGACGTCCATGGTGGGACGATAGAGCACAAACCGAAGCTACCGAACCGGAACGGCCTCAGGCGGTGGCACCGATGGCGAGAAAACTACCAATAGAAGCGGAATTGGCTGTGTTGCTATTGTCAAAGTCGAGACTGCTTATGCGGATAAATCATCCACTCTGCTCTTAGAATGTTCTCGAAGGCAACCACTTCTCCGCCTGACGTGGGTTAACCCTAACTCGCCCGGTCGCCGCTACAGAAGCAGATGTTACTACCACCCACGCAACGAACCTCGCTTGTTAGACCTAACTCGTTCTGGTGCCTTTCGGTCGTCCCTTTCACTTATAAGCCTAAGTATTTTCCCACCCTAAGATGGCCGACCTCTCTGCTGCCTCACATATCGGTCAAACCGAGCGGTCTCAATACTGCGCACCAGATAAACTGGACAGGCCAAGTTTGCCATAGGAAAGCTGAAAGAAACGTCTCTTCTCTCCCCTATCTTCCAAGACACTCGTTTTAACGAACATCGTGAGGCACCACCATACTGCCAAACCTAAACCTACAACAACAGCAGAGACGCGCTACAGATGGGATATGACGCAGTCGAAGTCCCGATGGAACAAGTACGAAAGATAACTTGCTAAAATGAGTGGCGATGTGACGTTAGGGTGTCAGCAACTACTACTTGTTAGGTGCGGTGAGCAGAAGGCGAAACTAGGCGAGCAGATCGGAGAGCGCGCCACATACAGCGAACCAGGAAGGGGAAGGAGCAGCAGAGACAGGGAGCAGGACACAGGAACACGAGGAAATCTAGGTTAGCGCGCGAACCTCAAGGCAACTCGTGAGAAATCAGTGCGCGAACCTCGAAGCAGCAACCACCTCATCACACAAGTACCACAACAAACCACACCAAAACACGGTAAAACTACACCGAACCACGCCAACTAACTTTCCCCTCCCTGTCTCTCCCCCCTCACTTTCCTGCTGCTCACTTCCTTTTCCTTGCCTGCTGAACCTTGCTGGGCCCTTGGGCTTTCCCTCTCCCCTCTCGCCCGATTGGATGCGAGGGGTGGTTGGGGGATGGGGGGGTCATTCACGAATTTCAGGGCACTGCACACTGGCAACAGAAAGGCGGGAAGGGTTCCCCAACCACACACCTGCGTCGCAGGTGAGTCGCAGGGGGGTAAGCGAGTAGAGGAGATCCGTCCGTGCGACGGTGGGGGAAGACCCAAGGGGACCAGTTCCATCTTGTTTCGTTAGCAAATCGTTTGGTCTCGCTGATGCTTTCCCACGGCGATCGAGAAGGAAGGAGGTTTCGTGGGAACTCCTGAGGGCGCACCATGTTGCGGGTTTGTGCCGCTGTGGCCCGCACGACGCCGAGAACCTAACGGTCGCATGCCTCCCCCACCTAGTCTCAGCCAATCCTGGAAGGTTGAAGTTGACGACAGCACCATCGACGGTTGAGAGGACCGATCGAATCGAGGCATAAGCCCACTTGTGCGACTGCGGCAGCTTCTTGCGGCAACTCCGTGCAGGGGGGAACCGCACAAACACAGAAATAGGGCCAAACCTGCAGTCAGCTGGAGTGTATGCCACCAGCACGTGGACGTGCTGCCACCAGAATCGAGATTCCCCGACATAAAAGCCCCGTATATTCATTATTGCAAAAATACTTCAATGTCATGCATGTATGACTACCAATGTTTGTGCTCATTGTACATTCAAAGCACAAACCTATTGCAACGGAATTGAATTTTGAGAAACATCAAAACACTAGAAATTTTATTAATGTAATCATAGTTGATGTGGGGAAACTCCTGGAGCGTAGCCCCATGCTTTGACATTTAGCATCGAGACTCTACAATTTCATCTACTCTTTTCGATCCTGGCCCTTCTATTGAGGAAGTCCCTAAAGAGATCCAATATTGTCCATAGTGTCAGAAACTAAAAATTAACAAGTGTTGAATAGAGAGAGACAACAAGGGTATATACCTAAGAGTGTTGTACCCTCTACGAGGTGACCCTATACAGTCTATACCAATATATGTTATACATATGTTTGACACACCCCCTAGACTGCATAGGGGCAAATCCTAAACAAGCAGCTCAGGGCGGCACTACTAGTCCAGCCACTAAGACAAGGGTCTAAGGACCAGTCAAAATGGGGTACAGACAAGACAAGAACAAGACCAGGGCGGCACTACTAGTCCAGCCACTGGGAGAGGACACAAGTCTAGTCTGAGTACATAAATATAGATATATTTAGGACAGTACAACGTCAAAGTACTAGCAAGTGAGTGGCTACAGGAACTAGACCGAGCTGTACACAGTGCCGCTGATGATCTTTAGGCGCAAGCGCCTTCGTAAAGATATCAACTGTGTTGGCACCTGAGGCCAAATGAACTACGCGGGCCTGGAGGCGCTGCTGTAACTCGCGCAGGAGGAAGTACCGCAGCTGAATGTGCTTCGCTCTGCCCTCAAGTCGAGGCTCCTGACACAGGATTATCATGGCCCTGTTGTCAGCGTACAGGACCGGGGCGGAGCTAGGCCGCTCACCTAAGTCTGTGAGCAAGAAGGTCAGCCAGCGGAGCTCCTGTGCCGCCATGGCACCAGCGTAGATCTCAGCATCACAGCTCGACTGAGCAACAAACGACAAGTGAGTGGATCTCCAAGAGATAGCACCCGAAGCAAGGCTAAAACAGTAGCCCTGCGACGACCTGAGCGTCTCAGAGTCGTCTGCCCAAGAAGCGTCTGTGTGCCCAGTGAGGACCACTGGCCTGCGTCCTCCTAATACTAACCCCATGCCTGATGTACTTGCTAGATATCGCAAAACCCTGTTAGCGGCCGACCAGTGCTGTGGTCGGTGTCTGCCAGTGGCCACAAAGCGAGCCAGGATGCTGAGAGGGTATGCGAGATCTGGGCGAGTGCAGGTCATCAGGTACATGAGGCAACCCACAAGCTCTGTGTAGGGGCCGCTGGGCTCTACTGGCTCCTCAGGAACAGGAGCGGAAAGCCCGTGGTCTACAGGTAGAGGTGTGGGCTGTGTAGAGGAGAACTGAAGACCGAAACTCTGAAGGACCTGGCGCACCAGGTGTGACTGAGTCAGAGTGATGGTGCGTGCTGCTCTGTCCCTAGAGATCTGCAAGCCAAGGTAGCGACGCAGCTCTCCAAGGTCAGTGCAGGTGTGTCTCTTCAGCAGCTCGGCCTTCACAGAGGCCAGTGCGTCCCTGTCAGCAGTAGCAAAGACAAGGTCGTCTACGTAGACAAGGATGTAGAACGGAGTCTGGCCGGAACGCACAAACAGCGAGGGGTCAGCGGACGGCGGAAAGAACTGCAGGTCTGCTAACGTGGCCCGCACCGTGTCGTGCCACTCGCGCGGAGCCTGATGCAGACCGTAGACCGGGCGCCTGAGAAGCCACTGGGTCCCAAGGGGGAAGGTACCTGTGAACCCCGGCGGTCGGCGCAGGTAGGTCTGCTCGTGTAGGCTGCCCTGAAGGAAAGCAGTAGAGATGTCGGGCCACGTAGCGCGCCTTGAAGACAGGCGGCTCTCCAGGCGGGCGCTTCACCTTGAAGAGCCACCGACCATCGACTACGTTCACCCCAGGCGAGGGAACTGCATCGACGTAAGTGCCGGTGGATCTCCAAGATGCCATCTCCTGCTCCATGGCAGCTATCCACTGCGAGGCCCAAGGTCTCGAGGTGGCCTCAGCGTAGGTGCGAGGGGTCGGGATGTCGAAGGCGTCTGGGTCACCCTCAGGGACTAACAGCATGGAGCAGAGATGGGGAGCAGCCTCAGGGAGGAAAGCAAGCTCGTATTGCCTGTCCTCTAGGACGTCACTGCCAAGGGCAGGAGCACCCCCGACGGACGGAGGACAGGCAGGGTCAGAGACCAGAGCGGTAGCGTAGTCAAGACAGCGGGTGGAGGCGAAGTCAGCGACAGCAGCGACAAGCGCGTCAAGGCGCGAGACAGGAACAGCAGGGTCGGTAACGAGGGAGGCAAGAACCCAAGGGACAAGAGGACGAGCGGCACGGAGGTAGTCCGAGAACGGAGGAGGCGCAACAGCAAGCGACGAGGGAGGAGGGGAGGGAAGGAGGGGAGGACGAGACGGGTGGGAACGGAGCAACATAGGGTGAGAGCGCAGAACAGGAGAGGCGGGACGGGCACGTGAGGGACGGCGGGACCAAACGTGGGACTGAGGGGTAGGGTCAGGAGACAGCACAAGGGACACAACAGGAGAACGAGGAGGAAGACAGGCCGGAAACGAGTCTGGCGGCGGGAAAACAGGACCGTAGACCGGAAGGTCAGCAGGCGGCGGGGGAGACACCGGCGAGTGGTCCGGGGAGGGAAGGCCGAGCAGGCGGAGAGTGGAGACCGGCGGTGACGGCGGCTGCGGCGGCGGCGACGGCGGGGCCGGAACGCGCGGACAAAGAGAGGCAAAACGACCGTCGGCAGGACACTCAATAGCAGCACCCCCAGAACCAACACCCCCAGAGCGAGAACCCTCGCCAACACCAGCGGCACCCCCAGAAGTCGCAGGACAAACACCCGCCTCCACACCAGCACCCCCAGCGGCCACGGGCGACTGCAGCAGTGGCGGCGACGACTGCAGCGGCGACGGCTGCAGCGGGGTGGGCGACTGCGACAGTGGGGGCGGAGGCACCGGGGAAGGGGGACGCGGCAAGGACAGACCGGGGGAACCACCAGAGTCAGCAGACTCCTCAACTGGGACAACCGACGGGAGGGGAGTGACGTGAGAGACACCAGACGGGGCAGGACGCGGCGGAGGAGGAGCAGGGGCTACTGGGGGAGAGGGAGCGAGGAACAGGGGCGGGGCAACCGGGAGACCTCGGTGAGGGAAGCGGCGGTAGAAGGAGACAGACTCGTCAAAGGTGACGTCACGAGAGTGGAGGAAGCGGTGAGACGGCGGGTGGTAGAAAAGCTAGTCAGACGAGTCCAGGGGAAAACCGAGGAAGACACAGGGGACAGTGCGGGCAGTGAGCTTGTCCGTGCCAGAGGCACGAACGTGAGCAAGGCAGCCCCAGACGTGGAACGCAGACGCGTCACCGGGGGACCCTGTCCAAAGGAGGGTCGGCGAAACCTGCGGCCGATGGGAGCGTGGCCACAGGTTAAGCTGGTGAGCAGCGTAGCGAACAGCGAACGGCAACAGAAAATGGGGGGCATCGGCATGGATCATGGAGGTACGGGCGACCTCCATGACCAAGCCGATGCAGCGCTCAGCAACCCCATTCTGCTGTGGCGAGTCTGGCAAGGTGTACGACTGGGTGATGCCCTCCGCACAACAGAACTGTCCAAGCCGACCAGAAGCGAACTCGCCGCCACGGTCAGAGTGGAGACACAACACGGGGAGACCGCGGTGGAGACGCGCTGCCACAACCCACGGGAGAAGAACGTCGGGCACGTCGGCCTTCCGCTCCAGGGGAAAAACCGTGGTGTAGCGCGCGTAGTCGTCAACGAGCACAAGGAAGTAGCACTCACCACGGGGTTCGGGGACGGGGGCAGGACCCCAAACGTCCAGGTGCAGGGTCTGAAGGGGGGCAGTAGCAGGGCGCAGCGAGGAGGAGTGAGGAGAACGGCGGAGCCGGCCCTCGACGCAAGGCGTGCACGGTGGCGCAGTCGAGGGAGGAAGGGCGGGGAGCGACGCAGGGAGACCTAAGACAAGACCGTGCTGGGACATGTGACGCAGACGAGGGAGGGCAGGGTGACCTAAGCGGTGGTGCCAGTGGAGGGACGGGTGAGTGAGGGAACGACAGGAGCAAGCTGCAGCAACCTGGGAGGACGGACCAACCGGAGGGGAAGCGGTGTCTAGGGTAAACAGACGGGACACTGGGTCCCGGGGGAACGTCGCAAGGGGGGAACCTGAGACAGCCTCAAAACAGACAGCGAACCGCTCGTGCCCGGGGAGCGTGGTGGTGACGCCGAGGTCTTGAAGACAGTCGACACCAACCAGGTTCCTCGAGAATAAGGGAACGTGGAGGCCTATAAGGGAGCCCGAGGGAACTGCTGGACAGGGAAGGGACGTAGAACTGCGAGCGACGACAGGACCCGCAGAGGGGTCAGCGAGAAAGACGACAGCTGGCGTAGCAAGCAGCGTGAGCGCAGAACGGTCGCGGAAGAAGCAGGCAGAAGCACCGAAGTCGAGAGTGAAGGACAGCGCCGCAGTGGCGGGGACAGGGAACAGAGTCGGTGCAGAGACAAGGCTAGACAATCTAGGCAGCTCACGCCTGACGCAGCAGGGGAGGCTAGGCTACACAGCGGTGCAACACCTAAACTAGAGAACACAGGGTAATAAGATCCAGCAATACTAGCAGCGTCAGAATACAAAGCATGCAAAGCAGCACCTATCTGATCCATGTCTAACTCAAAGATCGGCACGCCCTGGCGGAGCAGGCGGTGCCAGTCAGGGAGTTCAGGGGCCGGGCCAAAGCGACGACGAAAGAGATCGTCGAGGCGGCGGAAACAGCGGGCAGTCGGGTGCGGGCGGCGGCACAGAGTTCCGCGAAGGGGCCCGGTCTGAAGCTGGTACTGACAGGTCACAGCACCGGAGCCACTGGTAGACGCCAAGCTGCGAGAGCCGCCACCACTACCACCACCTCCTGAGGTGCCGGGCCAACCAGACGGGAGACGAGCCCACTGCTGCGGAAGCTGCGGCGGGGACTGCGGCTACTGCTGAGATGGCGGCTGCGGCGCGGGATGCTCCTGCTGCGGCTGGGGCTGCTGCTCCTGACCACCAAGGCTAGTCCCCCCAAACGGACAAGTCTCACGACCACCAACACCACTACCGGCGCCACCACCCCGACCACTCTGGCGACCACGGCCACTGCGGCGCGAGCGCTGCTGCGGGTGGACCACAGCAGCCGTCTCAATGAGGGGGGTGGCCGTGGCGACCGCAGCCGAAACGTCAGTGAACGTGCACTGGGAGGGGGCACAGCCGTGAAAGATAGAGACTGTCGGCGTACCGCTTGACTGAGCGATAGTGCGCTGGCGAGTCTCGATCTTGGTGAGGGTGTCGACAAAGGCGGTGAGAGTGAGGTCAGCCGGGTGCTGGCTAAGGAAGTGATCGCTAGCACTAGCGAGGCGGTCTGGCAGGCGCTTGGCGATAAAATAGAGCGTCATGCAGAAAGGGGGGGGGAGCGCAGTGAGCTGGGCAGCAGTGCTAGCAGTGCGATAGCGGGTCTCTAGGGCACGTAGGTGATTGGCAAAGTCTGCGATGGTAGGGAAGGCTGCAAGGTCTGGGAAAAGCATAGGGAAGAGCAGGCGACCAGCAGAAGCAGAGGCGGGTGTGGAATAGCGGGCAATAACAGCGTCTAAATAAGCTTTGGCCGTTTCAAGAGTAGCAAAACGCGAGCGCTCAGAGACAGGGAGGGCGTGGCTAATGGCAACCTGAGCGACTGCATCTCGGGAGTCCGAGACCGCACAGGCAAGCGCAGCAGTAGAGAAGGTCTCACGGTCTGCAGAGGAGGGATCAGCAGGGAGGGGAGCAGGTGCGGGGGGGCGGGGGAGCAAGCCGTCAACATGGACGACCAAAGAGTGGCCATCCTGGCGCTGACCTGTAAGCTGGCGGCGGAGATCGGAGAGCCAGGCGACGAAGTCAACCGCATGGCCCTCGGCGTCCAGTCGGAGCACGAAGTCCGCCATCGTGCAGGGTCAGCAGCACCGCTCTACAGGAACACAGCGACGCAGAACTAGAGCAACAGCCCCCTGCCAGCACGGCGGCCACGAAGCGCCTCAGCACGGGCGAGCCGAGGAGACGGAGCCCGAGGGGGCATGGCAGGTGCGGTGGGGCCAGGCAGGTGCTGGCGGGGCCAGGCAGGCGGGGCGGGGCCAGGAAGGCGCGACGGGGCCAGGCAGGCGCGGCAGGGCCAGGCAGGCGCGGCGGGGCCAGGCAGGCGCGGTGGGGCCAGGCAGGGGCAGCAGAGCCAGGCAGGCACAGCGGAGCCAGGGAGGCGCGACGGGGCCAGGCAGGCGCGGCGGGGCCAGGCAGGCGCGACGGGGCCAGGCAGGCGCGGCTGGGGCCAGGGAGGCGCAACGGGGCTCGGCAGGCGCGGCTGGGGCCAGGGAGGCGCGACGGGGCCAGGGAGCGCGGCGGGGCCAGGCAGGCGCGACGGGGCCAGGCAGGCGCGGCTGGGGCCAGGCAGGCGCGGCTGGGGCCAGGGAGGCGCGACGGGGCCAGGGAGCGCGGCGGGGCCAGGCAGGCGCGACGGGACCAGGCAGGTGCGGCTGGGGCCAGGGAGGAGCGGCTGGGGCCAGGGAGGCGCGATGGGTGCTAGGAGGCATAAGGGGGCCCAGGAGGGGCGCGGCAGGCTAGGAGGCGCTAACGGGGCCCAGGGGGGGGGGCGCGACAGGTTAGGAGGCGCTAAAGGGGCCCAGGAGGGGTGCGACAAGGGCTAGGAGGCGCGGCAGGGGCCCAGGAGGGGGGGGGGCGGCGCGACGCTGCCTAGGTGAACGCGCGACGGGGCGGAAGCGGTAGGTGGGAGGGGTCGAACCTACGGATGATACCATGTCAGAAACCAAAAATTAAACAAGTGTTGAATAGAGGGAGACAACAAGGGTATATACCTAAGAGTGTTGTACCCTCTACGAGGCGACCCTATACAATCTATACCAATATATGTTATACATATGTTTGACACATAGGATGTTCAGGATTGAACTGCAGTAGTGCGCTTTGCGGAAGAGTGAACCCTGTCAGAGTGAATGTAACATAACAGTGTTTACCATAACAAAGGAATACCGGGTTTATATAGTGATACAAGAGAATGCGAAGGGTCTAACTAAGATGCACTTAGAAGGAGTACATTCCCTTTGGGATTTCCATATCCGACTTGGGTAACTGCATGTACTGCATTACAGGGTCAGTTATATGTCCTTGCTGAGGAGATGTTGAGCCCAAGAAACTGGGTCACAATCTTAGAGGTGGTAATGTCGATGCGCTGGCTGAGGCTGCGCTTGAATTGATCGAGCAAGTCGGAGTTGGTGCCGGTATAGAGCAGGTCATCAATGTAGACCGTGAGGAGGATATAGTTTCCGCATAAATAAAGGTGGTACATCCCGGGGTCGTGAGGTAGCTGGAGAAATCCTGTTTCCAACAGGATCCTGTGGAGATGCTGCCGCCATAGACGGGGTGCCTCCTTAATCCCGTATAGGGATTTTTGCAGCTGGCAAACGCATGAATCTCCGTCGCTGAAGGTGTAGGGTTGCTCTACGAAGTTTAGAGTGTCAATGTGAGAGTACGACCCCGTTCCATTCCTTTCACCTTTCCATCTTCCCTTTCCATTTCATTCCTCTTTTTATCCTGATTCATTTGGTCTTTATATCATTCCATTTAGATTCCTATTTCTTCTTTTCCATAAACCTTTGGTTTATCCTGTTATTATCATTATATCACCGACCAAGCTCGAGATGTACTGGTATGCTATATCTAGCGCAATCCTGCCGTAATCCCTTAAAGCCAATAGCCTCGCATGGCTACACGCTGGGTGATTCTATTTTCTAGAAGGGTCTATTCCCTTGGGATATGATAAACCTGGTTACCTGATGTACTTTGGAAGTATAAAAGCGCCTTGTATCAATCGATAGTGCAACCTTTCCTCCACACATTCGATCCTGTAACACTAGCTAAGCAGCAGTAGCGGGACTCCTGCCTCGAAAAACCGACGGGGGCGACCAGTTCGACGCTGATTCTGGTAAGCACCAGCTCTGCGTTTTTTCGAATTTCCCCATCTGCGCGTGTTTTGAACAGGATGGCGAACTTCGACAACGCCAAAGTTACCCAGCAGCTCTTCGCGCGCATCGCAGCCCTACAGGAGGAGATGCGAGCCGACCATGAAGCTTGGCGAAACGAGTTCAAGTGAGTAACTCGACTTGCCGTCGCGCAACACGAAACGACAACGGCAATGACACGAACAGTCGTCACGGAAACTCCGGGCCCTGGAGAAGAACCTTTCTCCAAGCAGCCTTGGCCAGCTGCCAGCTCAGGAGTAGGAAGCAACGAATACTGGGATGTACCCTATGACCCAATCAATGAAACTATCTTTGGGTACTCCGAGCAACGCCTGCTCCTCGTGATTGAGGTCATCTGCAAAGGACGACGCCTCTAAGCACTCGTGGACAGCGGAGCATCGCACACCATATGCGACAAGGCCACCCTCGACCGACTTCGAGAAGAGTATAAGCCATAAGCGTTTTCTGCAACGATGGTGGACGATAGCAAGTTACCACTGTACGGTGAAGCAGTGCTACACCTACAAATCGGTCCACAACGCTGGAAACGTGCTCTCCCCATCACCAACATAAAAGGGCTTGACTTGATTTTCCGGCAAGACTTCCTAAAAAAATTCAACCCCGAGATCCACTGGGTAAACCGCACCGCAAGCATCTACAACAAAGGAAGGAAAGTTCGGCTACCCAACTAGGACGATACAGGTGATATCCCAGTGGAGACACTCGCCAAATTTGAGAAGGACGTGAAACGAACCAACACTAGGTTCCTAGTGATAGCAACATAGGTGGAGAATGACGGAGAGAAAGCCTCGGAACCACCAGAAAAAGTCAAGGACTTACTGAAGGAGTTCCAAGACATTCTTCCCTACGACCTCTCAGACGAGCTACCGCTATACCGAACGCGCCAACACGAGATCGTGGAGGAACCAGGTTCGAAACCGACCTTCCGAGCACCATGTCGGCTAATCCCCACAGAACTAGCCGACATGAAGAAACAGATTGAGTATCTCTTCGCCAAAGGACTCATCCAACCATCCACTTCGCCATACGGTGCCCCAGTACTCTTCACACCGAAACCGGACGAAAGCCTGCGCATGTGCATCGACTACTGAGCTCTCAAAAAGCAGACCATAAAAAACAAGTACCCTATTCCACGAATCGATGACCTGCTTGACCAGCTTCGGGGAGCCACAGTATTCTCAAAACTAGATATGCGGTCCGGATAATGGCAGATAAGAATGGCGGACGATTCCGTTCACAAAACTGCTTTCCAAACTCGGTACGGATCGTACGAGTATCTGGTAATGCCGTTCGGACTCACCAATGCACTTGCAACATTCCGAGCAGAGATGAATCATATTCTATGCCCACTCTTGGACGAATTCGTGGTGGTGTACCTGGACGACATCCTCGTCTACTCGCGGGACATGCAACAACACGTCGAACACCTATGACGCGTCTTCGAAATTCTTCGACGAGAACGCCTCTACGTCAAACTATCCAAGAGCGACTTCGCCCTCGAGAATGTCCAATTCCTCGGACATATCGTAAGCACTCAAGGAGTTCACGTTGTGCGTACGTGGAAGACACCCGAGAACGTGAAGGAGTCACAGCAGTTCCTTCGCTTTGCTAACTCCTACAACAGATTCGTACCACAATACGCGAAGATTGCCGCGCCACTCACGAATCTGCTAAAGAAGAACACGCCCTACAAATGGGAGCCACAACAGCAGGAAGCCGTGGAGCAGCTAAAACAAGCACTCACGTCCGCACCCGTACTCATCTTGCCAGAACCCGAACGCGACTACGTTATCGAAGCTGACGCCAATGACCAGGCAGTGGTAGCAGTCTTGATGCAAGACTAGGGGAATGGCCTGCCACCAATTGCCTACCTCAGCAAAAAATTACACGGGGCAGAAACTCAGCTACCCAATACACGACGAGGAGGCCCTTGCTATCATCATCACCTTCAAAACGTGGAGATGCTATCTCGAAGGATGCAAGACGACAGTCTACACCGACCATTGCAGCCTAAAATATTTGAAGCGGCAGGTCTGGTGGATTGACTTCCTTGAGACACACTTCCACTACGACATCGTGTACAAGCCCGGCCACAAAAACAAAGCAAATGCGCTTAGCTGGCCTGCACACGTTGCCGCTATCCAAGTTGAAGGGATGAATCCACTCCTCAAGGGACTCTTCACACACGGGTATACCATCGACCCCGAAATTCCCTTGGCAGAAAAACTACATCTGCTACAGTGGGACAATGATATCGCGTACCGGAAAGGATCAATGAAGATCTGGGTACCTAATTAACCTCCATTGCGCCAGTTACTACTCGAAGAATACCACGACGTCCTGTGCGCGGGACACTTCGGTAGCAACAAGACGCTCACCGGTATCGCCAAGCACTACTACTGGCCCCACATGGTAGATGACGTACAGAAATTCGTCACCTCGTGCACTACATGTCAGCGGATGAAGAGCAGCAAGCAGAAAAAGGCGGGTCTGCTATAGCCTCTTCCTGTCCCAGAACAGCCATGGCAAGTGGTGAGCGTAGACTTCATCTCCGAGCTACCAACTACCACAAGCGGTCATGACTTGATCCTCGTCGTCATTGACAAGTTCTCCAAAATGGGACACTTCATCTTGACACACACCACAGCACGCACTGAGGAGACGGCACAACTCTTTGTTCGCTACATCATCTCACAACATGGGATTCCAACTACACTCATCTCCGACCGAGACCCTAAGTTCACCAGTAAATTCTGGAAAGAACTGATGTCTCTTCTCGGGACCAAACTCGCCATGTCATCCGCCTACCATCCGCAGACAGATGGATAGACCGAGCGCCTCAACCAAATTGTGGAGCAACTCCTCCGCGCAGCCTGCAAGGACGACATCTCCAAATGGGACTTGCATCTACCCGTCCTGGAGTTTGCCTACAACAATGCTACTCACGCCGCTACTGGACAGACGCCGTTCTTCCTCTGTTACGGATGCCACCCACTCGCACCTCAACAGCCAAACATACCAGCCACAGTCCAACCCGCTCATGATTTCACCACGACCATGCACAAACTTTGGGATCGGACCCACAAGCGCCTTCTCGACATTCAGTAGCAACAGAAGCGCCAGGCCGATCACCACCGCACAGACCACACCATTACCGTGAGAGACCGAGTCCTACTCGACACGCGCAATCTTGACATCAGCCATCTCCCATCCAACTTGCGACCTCGCTTCTGCGGGCCTTTTCTCGTTGAAGCACAGATCACTCCTGTTACCTTCTGCTTACGCATACCAGCTACCTGGAAGATTCACAATGCCTTCCATGTCCAACTCTTGAAGCGCTACCGAGATCCCAACACGGTCTTCTCTGGATGCCAACCGCCGCCGCCGCCGCCCGTCCTCGTCCATGATAAACCCGACTACGAGGTCGAGTCCGTGCTTGCTCGCCGCCATCGACGGAATGGCACCATGGAGCTTCTCATCCGCTGGAAGGGTTATGATCCTTCAGAGGACAGTTGGGTCTCTGAATCCGAGATGGATCACGCTCGTCGTCCTCTTTGCAACTACCTTGTCAAGCATGGTGTTACGTCTACCACCCAACTTTGAGGGGGGGAAGTGTGAGAGTACGACCCCGTTCCACTCCTTTTTCCTTTCCATCTTCCCTTTCCATTTCATTTCTCTTTTTATCCTGATTCATTTGGTCTTTATCTCATTCCATTTAGATTCATATTTCTTCTTTTCCATAAACCTTTGGTTTATCCTGTTATTATCATTATATCACCGACCAGGCTCGGGATGTACTAGTACGCTATATCTAGCGTAATCCTGCCATAATCCCTTAAAGCCAATAGCCTAGCGTGGCTATACGCAGGGTGATTCTATTTTCTAGAAGGGTCTATTCCCTTGGGATAGGATAAACCTGGTTACCTGATGTACTTTGGAAGTATAAAAGCGCCTTGTATCAATCGATAGTGCAACCTTTCCTCGACACATTCGATCCTGTAACAGTCAACCTTTGCGTATAGAAACGCATTTTTAACATGCTGCTATGGCGAGTAGGATGCGCACTGAAGTGTGACGGCTAATAGGTGCGAAGGTGAGGTCGAAGTCAATTCCGTGGCATTGGTCGTATCCTCGGATGACCCATCGAGCCTTTCATCGCTCGACGCTCCTTTGGGCGTCGGTCTTAATGCGGTAGACTCACTTCCCAGATAGTATCTTTCTCCCTTTTACTACTACGCGGTCTACGAGGGCCCAGGTGTTACGAGAGCGTAAGGCAGCAACTTCCGCATCCATGGCCTTGCGCCATTCGGTGCGGTGAGGTCCGATGAGATCACGGAGGGATTTTTGGGGACTGCTGCATGGAGCCCGAGGATGTGTAGGCCGAAGTAGCGGATGTTATAGTGGTATTTGTTGGTGACTTCTTGGACGTCGTCATCAGAGTTGGCAGCGGGCTATGGATCCGAGGAGGTACTTGTGATCCCTTCACAAGGGATGGGTCTAGGCGGGCTGTTCATCAGGTGGGTCTTGGTCCATGCACGCAGCGGCTTCTTCGTCTTCCTGCGAGGCGAAGCAACGTTCTCCTTGCGCGTAGGCTGCTTGGCGATTGCTGCGGCGGTCGTCTTGGAACTGCTTCAGGGTGAGTCCTTCGTAGAAGAGGATATCCATGGAGGGTATGATGGTTGAGTTCTCCAGGTCCAAGATTGTCCATGCCTGGTACTCATGAGAAAACTTGAGGTGCGCCCCCCAGCGAGCTTGCCTTTCAAAGTTGTCGGTGATGGCTTGGTGAGGGCGATATTGGACCATGCAGCCCCAGAATCGCAACATGCTGGTATCAACTGGTTGTCCTGTCCAGGCCATATAGGGGGAGAGGTTCCTGTCGTTGGTAGTGGAGGACAGTATGTTGTGCAGTCGAACTGCGTGGTGCATGGCGAAGTGCCAGTAGTCTATGGGCAGTCTAGACTGTAGCAGCATGGCTCGAACTTTGGTCTGTAGGGTGCGGTTGGTCCGTTCAGCGACGCCTTGCTGTTGGTGAGCATAGGGAAGGGAGAGTATATGCTCGATCCCAAGTTCTTGGAGGTGATTCTGTAGTTCCTTACTTCAAAATTCTCGAGCACCATCTGTCTGCCAGTACTTTTGCTTCTTCCCGGACTGGCGCTCAGCAACGGCAAGCCAAGGTTGAAAGACGTTGAGTACTCTCCCTCTGTTTTGGACGTTGACTACCCAGACGTAGCGGATGGTGGCGTCGATGAAGGTGAGGGTGAACTCTTCCCCGTAGAGTCCTACTTGTATGAGGACAAGGTAGTCGCTGTAGACTTTGTCCAGTGGTGTGTAGTGGTTAGGGCAGCGAGGGAGATCTTGGAATGGGTTGTGAGTGAGGGCAGCTTCGGGGCAGACTGTGCAGGTGCGAGGTGCTTGGCTTACTTGGAGCTCATGTCTGTCAGAGTCCAGGAGTGCCCCAGCAGCAAAGACGCTGGCACTGATTGTGTTATTGAGGGTGACTCTGGAGGGGTGGCCAAGCCGCTGGTGCCAGATATCCCGGGAGGCGCGACGTCCTCGAGTGCATTGATAGCGCTGGCGGGAGTCGTCAGGAGGAGGGGCTAGAGGTGTGCCTGCAAATGCAGGGGCTGTGATGGCGAGAGCGAGGAATTGGCAGTCTATGAGGTCCGCTCTGAGTTCTTGATCTCGAGGAGAGCCGTCTGGTCCAGCTGCACTCTCGCCTAACTCCTCGGTGTTAAATTGCTGATGGAGATGAGGGGGTGGTGGACCTTCGATGATGCTCGTCTCTTAGAGTGGTGGCGGGTTATCGATCTCTTGGAGATCAGCTTCAGCTTCGAATCCGACAAGAGCTGACTCGAGGAGAAGAGGAATTCAAGACTCAGATGGTGGAGGCCTGTAGTTGCCTCTCCAGAGGAAGGTGTTTTCTCCATCAGGAATTTCATCGTACTCGGCCTAGGTTCCAAGGGCTTGAGGAGGGCGACCAAGGTGAAGATATGCATCAATTGCGATTCTCTCCCTTTCGCCTTCGTCGTCCTCGTCATCTTCCTCGTTATACCATGCCTCGTGATTGAGACGCCATTGTTCTATAGCGGGGTTGCGAAACCATGGACGTCTTGGGCGTGATCTGCCCCAAACTTCGGTTGTTGGTGCGCTAGGCCAAGGGTGTTGGGGAGGGATGGTGGTGTTGTCCAACTCGGTGTCCTCTATTGATACACCTCCTCTGTTCCCTCTGCTAGGGAATGGACCCCAGCTGCTTGGCGCCCTGAAGAAAGGTGCACCGATCTTGACCCTAAGTTTCGGGCGTGGTTGTTCTTGTTCTTCTGCTGGTGCTGTCTCCGCTTTTGCGCCTTCTGTTTCTCCCTCCGTTCCCTCTGCTGCTGCTGCTACAACTTTTGCTGCTACTGCTGCTGCCTTTGGTTCTTCTGCTTTGGATACTGCCTTTGCGGCTTCTCGTGCCGTTGATGTTGCGACCATTGTTGCTAGTACTGATTCTGGTGATGTCGGTCCGTGTCGATTAGCGGTGGATCTAAGAGAGCTTGCCCAGGCATCCATGTCAGATGCAAGTATTGTTGCCAAATCTGCTGCTTCTCGTGGCATGGGTTCTCTCTAGTCGGGTTTGAACACCATGTGAGTGTGTAGCTCCAATGGGGTTGGCCGTCCTGTTTCGTCAAAGCAACCGGACCCCACATAGGCCAGAACGCTTTGGAGGCGTTGGCGTGAGTCTGTGCCCATCGTTGTTTTAGGAGGAATGATGGTGACGGCTGCAGCAGGTTGTCATGCCGACTTTTGGAGTGAGGAGGGATTCTGTTTCGCCTTCCTCGAGAGTTCCGAGTCCTGTTCCCACGATGTTGCTGGAGGATGCTGTTGGGGTGCGACAGGTACGGCAGATGCCGTCTGGTCCAGGGTCATACAGGTTCGTCTCAGATGGGTGCACGTGGTGGGTAATCCATGGCCGGCCGTCCGGGTATTTCCACTCCTTTTCCTCTTGGTAGGCAAAGTCGAGTGGAAGGAGGTCAATCAAATCATGGTTGTCGCAGTTGCAGTTGGGGATGTCGAAATCTAGGACGTAGACTCCGTCGAATGCTCTTGCCATTCCAATGTACTGTGGTTGGTTTGGTTGTTTGTCGAGCTGATGTGGCTTACGATAGTGTAGCAGTATGTCCCATGATTGGGGGTCGGTACTGCTGTCGATACCGCATGACATCAATTGCGCTGTAGATAGCAAGTTGTAGCGCAGGTTCTGAACGATGAGCACGTCATTCAAGGTGATGTGTGTTAGGGAGTTGTGTGCCTATAGGACGACTATGCCCTGTTGTCTTGCCACAAGTCGCTCATTGTTGGCGACGGTGACATAGGTTGTAGCGGGGGTGGGAACGGCATTGGAGATGTAGCGTTCAGAGCCGACCATGTGCTGTCGCAACAACTGTCCAGGTACCAGGTGTTGTAGTTGTCGTGGTTGTCGCGAGCAATCATCGCAATCCTTGGAGTTAGCAGGTAGGGCTTGTTTGACTTGTGCATGCTATGATTTATTGGGAAGTCAAGCTAAGCTTGCCCGTCGCCTCCAGATGTCATGTCGGTGATGTAAGGGGTCGGCTCTAGGAGGGGAATGAGTAGGTTCCATTACAGCAATTCGTGGTCAATCTTGTAGCTGCCGTGCTTGTTGTAGGGGTGTTGTAGTCCTGTGCCTCTATCGCCGGCTCGAAGTCTCCATAACTTGGGCGAGGGCATGGCGCGCGACGACGTCGATTTTCTCGGCGCGCGGGACCCCGAGTTCTCATCGCCATAACGATTTGGCGATTGATGGGTTGACCATGAGTGCCTTGCTGAGTCGGACGGGGGTCCGAGGATGCAGGAGGGCGCGGGACTAGTCGCTGGTCCGTGTGGGATGGGCGAATGATCTGACGCGGGTTGTGAGGGGAAGGGTCGATGGGTCTCCTTTGTTGGATGTGACCCCATTGACTTCCATCCGTGTTAGGCATGTAGGATGGTCGTGCACTGATTTCCACTCGATTATGGCAACGCTCTGTAGAGTGTCCGAAGGTTTTGCCGTGTTCGCAAAAGTAGCGGCGATTGCGCGTGTCACGGCATGGCTCCTTCTGGCCTGAGTAGAAGGCTAGCCTCGCTTTGCATGGAGCTCTCTCCTTGTAGAGGTCTATATCCTGCTGCTAAGCTAGCAGTGTTGCGCAAAGAGTCGCTTCGGATATTTCGCCCTGCTTGTGGAGTAGTGCCTTGCACGGTCACCATTCAGGGGTAAGTCCAGCGAGTACGATCGTCACGAACATGTCTTTGGTGATGGTGTTCCCAAGCTTGACGATCTGGTCGTAGATGCTTCGGCAGTGACTCATGTAAGTGTTGGCCTTTTCCCCTGGGGCCATCTTCACTTCTAGCAGCTGTCTGAGCAGTCGAATCGACGACACGGAGTCCTTCGGCTGGTAGATGTTTGTCAGATACAGCTAGGAGTCACGTGCCGGAGCGACCCATGTTTTGAACGATCGAATTCCGAGTTGCTCGGAAGCGGACATACTGTATTCCGCAGAAGTACGTTGTACGTCATCAGCGATTCGCTATGATATCGTTGCTTCACGTCTTCGGTGTCTGCAGGGCTTCGTCATATAATCGTATGCTTGCAGGTGGTTGTGTGTTGGAGGCATCGAAGTTGAAGAAGCCAGGGGTGGAATCTTTCTCTGCTGAGTTTGGTTGCGTTTCAGTTGTTTGGCGAGCGGTGCTCGAGCCGTTGATCTTGAGAGATTGGAGTCATTCTTTAAGAGTTGACATTTGTTGGAGCAATTTCTCGAGGAGCTTTGTGGGGACGGAAGTTGTTGCCGCCGGATTCGGAGTGCTTGCAGGTGCTTCGGGAGGAGGGCTTCCTTTCCCTCGTGATCCCGAGCCTGGGGCCATTCTGTGGCAGGAGAAAGTCACTGGCGCCACGATATTTGAAATTGAAGCTGACATAGAGTGTCATGCGTAGAATCCTTATAGGCTCTGATACCATTAAGCAATCCAATATGGTCCATAGGATGTTCAGGATTCAACTGCAGTAGTGCGCTTTGCGGAAGCGGTTGATTGGTCTCTTGAACCCTGTCAGAGTGAATGTAACTTAACAATGTTGATTATATTAAAGGGACAAATGGTTTATATAGTGATACAAGAGAATGCGAAGGGTCCAACTAAGATGCACTTAGCAGGGGTACATTCTCTCTGGGGTTTTCATATCCGACTCGGGTAACTGCCTATACTGCATTACAGGATCAGTTATGTGTCCTTGTTGTCGTGACAGACCCTTGGACTTCTGTCGGTTCGACTGTCGGTCAACGGTAAAGGACCGTTGCACTTCGTACTTCTCGTTATAGGCTTGGACTCGATAAGGGTTACGGTTCGAGTGTCACTTTCAGGAATGTAGCAATTTCCTTATCGTACCAGTCCCTTACTTCTACAGAAGGGGCATGGATCTTAGATTCATTGGTTCCGTTAAGTGGCTTTTCTTACTCTTTGTTGTACATATTAGATTTTGAGGTTCATCATTTTATGCTCGCTTATATATTTGAACCTCTATTATCTTCAAACATTTAGTTACCAATCGGCGTAAATATTTGTAAATTAATAAAAATCATTACAAGGTGCAACATTTGATCAATATTCACCATAACTAAATCGGATGCATTTATGTGAAAATGCATACCACATGTACTTGGACATATTATCAATCAGAAATCTCAAAGCCTGCCTCTGGACGAATCCCCGAAATGCCTTCACACAATTGGTTGCATCACCATGTGCCCCCTCTTTTGCCATCCTCCTCACCCTCGCCTCCTCGCCTCACTCCTCCGTCCACTCATGGCCTCCCTCCCTTGTCCTGCCATAAAACCATTTTCGCTCACTTCTAGTGTTTCCCTCTGGACTTCCTCTCCCTCTCCGTGATTCTCGAGTGCTTGTCTTCCTCCTGCCTTGCCTAGCCTTGGGCATCTCTTCAGGATAACCCTACACTGACGTCACCATGGTAAGTGCGCCTAGCTGATCAGCAGGCCCTTCCTCGCGCTCTTCGCCGGGTTTTGCTCACCGCGGTTTCCGGGGACCGGCCTTTTAGAGCTTAAGGAGCCGAGGAGGGCTCAATACAGATCGCGCGGGTCGGAGTTTGGAAGAGTTCTTGGAGTAGAGAAGCGCCTTGCGTGGCCGACGCCCGTTGCTCGCCTGTCGATCTCTTTAGATGCTCCTTCTCCTGCGTTCCGCCACTCCTGCGTCCACTGCCCCTGCCGATGCCTTTCACTTGGCTGGTTTTCCGCTCTCCGCTGTTACCCCCCACGTCCTGCATCCGTTCCTCTCCCTCCCCCACGCCCGCAAAACGAACTTCCCGCCCTTCCTCGCCCGTTTTCCCCCTGGCCCGCCTGCCCCCCACGTCCTCTCTCTCACAACCCCTCTCTCTAACCCCCCCCCTCCCCCCCTCTCCCCGCTCCCCCCTTCGCGCGCCGTTCAGACGGTGAAGCGTCGCAATGGAGGGCGCAACAAGCACGGCCGCGGGCACGTGAAGCCCATCCGCTGCTCCAACTGCGCTAAGTGCTGCCCCAAGGTGTGTCGCCGCCACTCATCCGTCGCCGCCATTTAGTGCGTCGCCGACATTGTGAATCTCTGGCTTGTCTCCTGCCCTTTTCTCATGCGCCAGAAAGCGATTGCATCGCGTGTTGCGATCGTGATATCTCTTTGGCGTTTGTAGTCTCCGTTGCTCCGTTTGGTGTGTGTCTCTCTTAAACCATAGTCCAGCGGGGGGAGCGGATCAGAAGCAACGATGCCTAGACTCTTCGTACTAAGTTGACCTGAATTTACGACTGCCTAACCAGCAGCCGTTGAAGCCATATCTATATGTCTCTGAGCTTCTGCCTCCCAAAGTCCGGGTTAATCCGCTCTCTTGTTTCTCCCTGTTGTCGTCCTTCAGTCCCCTGTTACCGAGCTGCCGTCTCTTATTCGTGTGCTATGAGGATAGCCTCTCTTTAGAGTTCGTTCATTGGAGTTAATTTACGTCAGCGTCCAATTACTCTGTGAATGGGTGCGTTGCTGGGCGACGATGTGGTACAGTAACCCTCTGATTGCGGCCTTTGCTCGCATGAGCGATTGATCTATAATAACGCTTTTTCTGAGCCCACGCCATTGCAAGCGCTGGTACGTCTTAGCCAGTCGCCGTGTCACCTAGGACGCAGCCGCATATGATTCGTCTCAACTATGTTGGTGATGCTCTTGTGCTGCTGGCTAGGGCGGCTATGTCGAGGGAGCTATGATGCTTTAAATTATATGTACTAAGTTGATCTGACAGCCGGCCTTAAGAGCCGGCAGTTGAAGCCACTTCTGAATCCTGAGCTCCGTGGTCGTCTTATCCCGTGCTTGAATGCATGTTGTAAGATTCTATTTCTATCGTGCGCGACATCGTGGGGCAGGTGGCACTGTGTTGTCTGCTGCCCTCCCCGTGTCTCCCCCGAGTCATCTTCCCCCGTTCGCTCCGCTCCCCCCCCGCTTCCCCACCCCTCTCCCCTTCCCCCTCCCCGCAGGACAAGGCGGTGAAGCGGTTTCTGGTGCGCAACATTGTCGAGCAGGCTGCGGTGCGCGACGTGCAGGAGGCGTGCGTGTATGACGGTGCGTCGCAGGGGGGTGGAAGGTTAGGACCGTGCGCTTGGGCGCATGACGACGCGTGTCATGTGTGAGAAGCTGCGGTCTAAGATAAGCAGTCTCATTCCTGGCAGCTTGTGTGCGACATTAGGAGCTGCGTGTGCTGCGTGTGCCCGCCTGAGGTTTCGGGGTTTGAAGGAACCGACATGAGGGGTGATCGGGGGTACCGCTGGGGTTATAGTGAGGGGTGAGTCTATGGGCACTCGAGCATGGGAGTGGACAGAGCGGGATAGACAAGTGAGCTAATGTGAGGAAGGACGAGTGCTGGGAAGGTGCTGTGCGTGGGGGGAACGATCGGGCACGCAATTTCTTCCGCCTTTCAACGCCCTCACCCTTCTCTCCCTTACCGCAATTTCTTCCGCCTTCCCCTCAACCACTCCTCTCCCATTCCCTTCTCTCCGTCGCTTTTCCTCGACCGCGCGTCCGTCCCCCGTCCTTCGCCCCGCCGCCCCTCGTGCGCGCAGGCTACGCGCTCCCGAAGCTGTTCGCGAAGATGCAGTACCTCATCTCCTGTCTAATCACCACACCCCCCCCGTCCCTCCACTGCCCCTCCTCTTCCCCTCGCCCGTTGTTTCCTTATCTCCCTCCCCGTTCCCCCCTCTCCCCCCCCTTCCCCGCCCCGCCTCGCCCCCCCATTCTCCCCCTGTCCTCCAGGCTACGCGCTCCCGAAGCTGTACGCCAAGGTGCAGTACTGCATCTCGTGCGCCATCCACTCGCACGTGGTCCGCGTGCGCTCGCGCCAGGCCAGGCGCATCCGTGAGCCGCCCAAGAGGCCCGGGCGCAAGGTGGGTGATTGCCGCCTGCGCGGAGCCGTGGGTGGAGACTCCTGGGAGAGATGCTGGGGGGAGATGCCAGGGGAATGAGTGGGGGGATGCGGGGTTTAGTGGATGTGTGTGTGTTGTGAGTCTGGTTGCCTGCACGGGACGCTTTGACTAGGCCTGTGGTTTGGGTGTGTGTGTGAGAGAGAGAGGGGGCTGAAAACGATGAAGAGAGCACGAGAGAGAGAGAGAGAGAGAGTGAGGGCACTCACTGCAGCTAAGGGCACTTCCCTCCACCCGTCCACCCCTCTGTCCCTCTGTCCTCCCGCCCCCTCTGCCCTTGCCCCACTCAGGACGACCGTGGCAAGCCCGGTGCTGCTGGTGCCCCCGGCGGCCGCCCAGGCGCCCCCCCTGCTGCTGGCGGTGCTCCTGGCGCTGCTGGCGGCGCTCCCAGGACTTAAATAGCCGCTACTACAACAGTGTAGGCTCATAAGTCAAGCTGCATACAGGCTGCCTTCTCCTCATCCTCTCCCGCTCTCGATCTCTCTCCCTCTGCGGTTGTTCACCACGGAACAGGGCACTCGCCTGTTTGTGCTGGCACCTACTTGCACCAACGTCCATCTCCACTCCCCCCACCCACCACGTTTCCTGCCACCACCACTACTACCGCTGCCATAGCTGAGTCTACTGTCAACAGGAATGCCACGCTATGGGGTACCTTGCACAATGTGGTATAGGTGCTGCGGCCTGGATGCTTGATGTGTACAGGTAGGCAGCAATTTTATTGGAAGAAATTGACCCTACAGCAGATTGCCAGTCCAGCTGCGTCGTTTCTGAAGTCTAATGGATGGTTCTGCGCACAAGAACGTGTAATTTCAAATGACACCTAATGCTTTGGTAGTGAAATGGCTAGTTAAATATTTAGTGCGACGCTTTGAAACAATTTTATTCTCCGTCTTGAGGCGATGTACGAGACAAGTCGCGAATTGTATCGCGTATTTTCTGTCTTGTGGTCGACCGCCTGCCACGCTGCTCGGCGTCATGTCGAATGGTGGACGATTCAACGACTCGACAAGGAGTCCCACGTGGCCACGTGTTAGTGGCACCATCAACGAAAGGGCAAGGCATCACTCCGAACGAAAGCCTCATTCGTCAGATTAGGGATTTGTAACTAAGCAACGCCACTGTGATTGTCGTATGCCTTTGGTATGTGGATTCGCCAAGCGATATTCCACTCGTCACTTCCAAATTCCTCGCAGACCTTCTTTCCAGCCCCAATTCTCCCCTCCTGTTCCCCCTCCTTCCGCCAACCACGCTCGCAATTTCAAGTGTGTGCCAAGTGCCTGTAAAGCGTAGCAAGCTGTGTAGAAAGACGCAGGGTATGTGACCAGGCGTAAATCCCAGGCAACTTGTGCAGCGTAGCCACTCGTGTGGCAAACTAAGCCCCTGGCAACCATAGCGATTGCAGCGCCACGACTAGCCCTGCTGCGCGGCAATGGAGGCTCTCTCGCACCTGCCTCTTGCGGCCACCGCCGTATCCGCGCTTGCGGGTGATGGACTGACAGCAGGAGTAGCAGCAGCAGCAGCCGCAACCGCAGCGGCAGGAGCGGCAGGAGCGGCAGGAGCGGCAGGAGTGGCAGGAGCGGCAGGAGCGGCTGGAGCGGCAGGAGCGACAGGGGGCGGCGTGAGTGTGTCCGAATCGCTTCCGACGGTCTTGAATCCCGCGTCGTCGCTGGACCCTGGCGTTGACGATGACCCGCTGCTCGTACGCCGCTTGCTCTCTCTCCCCTCTTTCCTCTGCACTCTCTCTCGCCTCTCGCCTCTCGCCTCTCGCCTCTCGCCTCTCGCCTCTCGCCTCTCGCCTCTCGGTGACGTGCCGTCTACACCTGCCCCCTTGTTCTCTTCTTAAACGTGTCCTCTCCTTCCCACCTCATTCTCGCAAACTCATCCTACGTCCTCTTTTCACCCCCATCCCTCGCTCTCCCGCCGCCTCCCCCCACCTCCCCCCCTCGCCTTCCGCCCCATCCCCCCCCCGCTTCACCCCCCCCCTTTTCCAAGGACGAGGCGGAGCGGGGGGCGCTGGGGCAGTTGGCGGCGCTCCTGCTGGCGCGCGAGGGGGACGGGGACGGGGACGCGGGGACGGTGCGCCAGCTGCTGCTGCGGGGGAACGGGGCGTTCCGGAGGGGCAACTATGAGGAGGTAGGGAGGGAATTTCGGGCTGGGGGAGCATTTCTCGGCCCGGGGGAGGGAGGGGGGGGGGGGGGGGGGGGGGGGGGGGGGGTTATCTTGTGATGCGACTCAGAGGCGCGGCATCTTGGATTTCGGGAGGGGGGAGGATGGTGCCGTTTGAAGGGGCAGGCACTTACGAGGACGTGGGCATGATGGGCTTATGGGAAACGGCAAAGGGGGTGTGGGGAGTGAGTGCAAGAGCCCGTGGGGAGAGGGGAGAGGGGAGAGGGGAGAGGGGGCACGGGCAGCAGGAAAGTGGGGAAAAGAGCAGGCGGTGACGAAGGCGGGAAGTTGCTCCCTGTGCCATCCTCCTCCGCTTCTGTGCACTGCTTTTCTGCCCCTTCCAATCGCGCCTGCTTGTTAGGTGCTCGAAAAGGTGATCCCTCGATCAGCGCCTACTTTGGTGCTCTCTTCTTGTCACGTGAGATCCTCCTCACCGCAAATCGGCCCATCCCCACTCCCTTCCCTCTCCACCCCTCTTCTCCTCCCCCTCGCCTGCCTCTCGTCTCCCCCTCTCCTCCCTCCCTTCCCCCCCCAGGCCATAGAGGCGTATTCCCGCGCACTGCAGAGGTTCAGCCAGCTCGCCTCGTCGCAGACACACACAACCACTGCTCCTCCCGCTGCTGTCACGCCCGCCAGCGTCACGCCCACCAGCGTCACGCCAAATCCCATCAGCACCGGCGGCAGTGGCGGCAGCAGCAACAGCAGCAGCCCTTTCGCCAGCGCCAGCAGCAGTCCAGAGGGATTCAGGCTCCCAAGCAACCCCCTTTCCCCGGTCCAACCTTGCACCACCACCACTGCTGCTGCTGCGCCTGCCTCCCTGCCCTCCCGCCTGCCCCCTGACGCCACGTCTGTGCTCCTCAGCAACCGCTCCGCTGCGCTCTGCTGGTACGGCGCGTTCCTTAGGTGATTCTTTGAGGTGATTCTTTCTTTGAGGTGATTCTTTCTTTGAGGTGATTCTTTCTTTGAGGTGATTCTTTCTTTGAGGTGATTCTTTCTTTGAGGTGATTCTTTCTTTGAGGTGATTCTTTCTTTGAGGTGATTCTTTCTTTGAGGTGATTCGTTCTTTGAGGTGATTCTTTCTTTGAGGTGATTCTTTCTTTGAGGTGATTCTTTCTTTGAGGTGATTCTTTCTTTGAGGTGATTCTTTCTTTGAGGTGATTCTTTCTTTGAGGTGATTCTTTCTTTGAGGTGATTCTTTCTTTGAGGTGATTCTTTCTTTGAGGTGATTCTTTCTTTGAGGTGATTCTTTCTTTGAGGTGATTCTTTCTTTGAGGTGATTCTTTGATTACCTGGTTGTATTCAGTAGGAGGTCAACAACCGCTCTGTACAGAGAGCTCCTCAGCAACGGCTCCCCTGTGCTCTGCTGTTTCGGCCCATTCTAGGCGCCTCCCTCGCCTCGCTGAATAACTCCGTTCCTTGTGCTGAGCCGTTGAATCAACTCGTTGGATCAATCCCTGTACCGAACGCCACCACGTATGTGCTCCTCAGCGACCAAACCGCTGCGCTCTGCTGGTAGGGGGGGGGAGATGAGCGAGGGGGAGAGTTGGAGATTGGGGAGAGATTTTGGGAGGGAGGGGAAAGGGGGGAAGGTGGTTTTCAGCCGCCACCTCTGCCAGATCAGCTAGCCCTGTCGGTAGGGGTTCAAGGGGGCGAGACGGGGCGCGGGGGGGCCTATTTTTGAGGCGCCTCAAAAATAGATCAGCTAGCCCTGTTGGTAGGGGTTCAAGGGGACGAGACCGGGGGCGGGGGGGCTTTTGTTTCTCAAGTGATTTGCTGGGCTGCTTGGTCGGCTGGTTGTGTTGGTGGAGAGGTTTTAAGGAATTCTCAAAATCCTAACACAGGTTCGCTGGGCTGGTTGGTTGTGCTGGTACGTGGAAGAGGCTGGGAGAGGTACGCACACACCCGCACTACTTGCGCCATGCGCCACCCACTCCATTCAGATGTCCTTGCCCCGTGCATCATACCCGGATGCATGCACCGAGCATCCATATCATACCCACATCTGTCCTTCCCACCCACTACCTCTGTGCCCTCTGTGCCCTCTGTGCTCTCTGTGCCCTCCGTGCCCTCCGTGCCCTCCGCCCGCCCGCACCAGTCTGAGCAAGCGGCTGCGCAGCATACCGGCAGCGCAGTCGGAGCGAAGGGCGCTGTACGGCCTCGACCCCCTCTCCCTCGCGCAGGTGCAACGCGCTGTCCCCTCAGGTGCCGCGCCATGCCCCCTTAAGGACTGTTATTGAGGCGCCTCACAAACAATGCGCTCTCCTTGGGCCAGGCACCATGCTCACTAGGGTTTTTATGCCCTCTCAGATACCGCCCGCTTTCTTTCAGGTACCTCGTCGTTTCCTTGCACCTGCCTCCTCCCCATGTCCCGTCGTGCTACTGCCCCCTGCCGCCCTGCCGCCCTGCCCCCCTGTGTGCGCCACGCAGCTGGCCCTGAAGGACGCGGAGAGGCTGGTGAGGCAGAGCGATGGGTGGCCCCCTCCTCCCCCCCACTTGCCCACGCACCGTCATCCTCCTGCCCCCCTGACTCGCTGCCCCCCTCTGTGTGCGCCCGCTCCGCAGTTGGCTCTGAAGGACGCGGAGAAGCTGGTGCGCCAGAGCGACGGGTGGCCCAAGGCGCACCTCAGGAAGGCTGCTGCGCTCGTGCTGGTGGGTGGGTGTATGGTGCTGCTGGTGGCTGGGTGTCTGCTGCTGGTGTGGGTGTGGGGTGATGCTGGTGAGTGGGTGTCTGCTGCTGCTTGTGCTGCGGTGTTGGCAGGTTTGTGCTGTACGTGGGTGGGTGTGCCTTCTCCAAGCACTCTAGAACTCCCGTACTTGACATGCCAGATTTTTACCACCTCAGAAGCTCTCTTTTCCCGCACCCCGTCTCTCCCACTGCCTATCTATCCTCACTGCAGTTGGAGCGGTACAGCGATGCACGGGAGTCATTCCTCAACGGTCTCCACATTGACCCCATCAAGTGAGCCCGCTGCTGCTCTGGTCGCGAGCGACTCGCCTCGCCTGCTCACTCCCCCACACACTCACACAGCTACACTCTCACCCGTGTCATTGTATTTCTGTTGTGAGTCGACTCGGAACGAAACTTTGAAACTTCTACCTCCCAGAGCTACTCTCTCACCCGTGCTCGCACGGGGGAGTCGCAAGACTGGTTCTCGTCCACCACATTGGCTTCACCACCACATTGCTTTGGTGCCGCAACCTGTATGGTGTGCCGTGCCGCCATACAGGTTAGGCAACCTCCCACCCTATCTCTTCTCCTGCCCTATCCTTCGCCTCAGCCCGATCCCTTCAGCCCGTTGCTGCAAGCGGGGCTGCAAGACCTATCAGCAGGGCAGGAGGAGGCCCCTAGTGCGACTCTCAACTTTCCTCGAGCTCTTTCTCCTACTCCATTCCGTCTCCTCCTTCTTCCCTCCCTTCAGCCTGTTGCTGCAGGAGCTATCAGCGGAGGAGGAGGAGGAGGAGGAGGAGGAGGAGGTCCGGAGAGTGACTCTTGACTTTCCTTGGGCGCTTTCTCCTACCCCTTTTCGTCCCTTTTCTTTCCTCCCCCTTTCTTTTCCCCTTCACCCCGTTGCTGCAAGCAGGCCTGCAGGAGCTATCAGAGGAGCAGGAGGAGGTCCTTAGAACAATAGTTAACTTTCCGCGGGCGCCTACTCACTCCTACCCCTTTTCGCCCCTTTTCCTCCCTCCCTTTTTTTCCCCTCCAGCCGGTTGCTGCAAGCGGGGCTGCAGAAGCTGTCAGCGGAGCAGGAGGAGGTGTGGAGAGTGGTGCAGGTGGGCAGGGAGGGAGAGTGACTCTCAACTTCCCTTGGGCGCTTTCTCCTACCCCTTTTTTGTCCCTTTCTTTCCTCCCCTTTCTTCCTTGCAGCCCGTTGTTGCAAGCGGGGCTGCAGGAGCTATCTGCAGAGCAGGAGGAGGTGCGGAGAGTGGTGCAGGCAGGGAGGGGGGGAGAGGGGCGCGGAAGGGGCAGCAGCAGGGGGAACGAGAGGAAGGGGGAGGGGAGTGGCGGGCGGGGCTCTTTGTCCTCTTCTGAGGAGGAAGAGGAGAGTGATGAGGAAGAGGAGGAGGAGGAGGATGAGGAGGAGGAGGAAGGAGACAGGGGCGGGGAGGAGAGGGGAGAGGATGGGGTGGAGGAAGGGAGTGGAGGAGGGAAGGTGAAGAGGCTGCAGCAGGGGCACGCCGACAAGGAGGGGAGGGGAGGAGAGGAGGGGGAAAAGGGGGTGGGGGCGGGGGCGGGGGCGGGGGCGGGGGCGGGGGCGGGGGCGGGGGCGGGGGAGGATGTAGGGGAGGGGGAGAAGGGTGTTGCAAGGAGAAAGAGGACGAGGAAGGGGAAGGGGAAGGGGAAGAAAGTTAAAGGGGAGAATGAGCAGGGGGTGGGGAGGGGGGTGGAGCGGGCAGAGGAGTTTGACTGCAGTCTGTGCCTGAAGCTGCTCTTCCACCCCGTCACCACGCCCTGCGGTATGTCCTCTCACCACGCCCTGCGGTATGTCCCTCACCACGCCCTGCGGTATGTCCCCTCACCACGCTTTGAGGGATGCATGTATGCCTGTCACCACCATGCCGTGCAGTATGCCCTGCACTGCGCTGGGGCGTTTGGCTGCATGCCTTGTGGTATGGAGTTTCACAATATCATGCTAGGTAAAGAGGTATTGAGAACCTCTTCTATATGGCATTCTTGTGACCTTGTAACGAGGTGGCTTTTGAGTCGACTCAAAATTCCACTGCTAGAGTGTTATTGAGAGGTGCCAATGGTGTGACACTCCCACACTCGCGAGCTGGCTTGTCATGCATTAGTACACTTTTGTCTCTTTGGTTGCCATGCCTCTCTCTTTCTTTTGTTCCCCTTCCCCCCCTTTCCACCCCTTTCCCCCCCTTTCCCCCCCTTTTCCCCCCTTTTCCCCCCTTTTCCCCCCTTTCCCCCCCTTTCCCCCCCTTTCCCCCCCTTTCCCCCCCTTTCCCCCCTTTTCCCCCCTTTCCCCCCCTTTCCCCCCTTTCCCCGCCTTTCCCCCCTTTCCCCCCTTTTCCCCCCTTTCCCCGCCTTTCCCCCCCTTTCCCCTGGAATCCTCCAGGACACACCTTCTGTCGCTCTTGTCTTGTTCGGGTGCTGGACCATGGTACGTACTTCTTGCACGGCTACTCAAGCTTGCAACCTCCAGCACACCACCATCTCCCGCTCACTCTAGGGCTCACCTTCTGTCTCTTCTGTCTCGTACGGGTGTTGGATGGACCTTGGTACGTACCATGCACCACTCACTAGCGCGGTTTCTCAAGATTGCAACCTCCAGCACGCCCAATGAAGCTTACGCTCTGTCTCGTGCCATTTGTGCTGCACCAGTCAAGCTTACGTCCCATTCCACCCCCGTTCCACCTCCTCTCGCCCCCCGTCTCGCCCCCTCTCTTTCCCGCCTCCCTGCAGGCAACAAGTGCCCTGTGTGCCGCACAGTGCTGTTCGTCAGCCCCATGCAGCACCCCGTCAGGCGAGACCGGTGCACTGACCCGTACTTGACAGGGGCAGCACCCCGTCAAAGGACAGCTGAGGCACCTCAAAGGACAGCCATATGCTTCCACTGAGTCTCGTCCCTCTCAATCACCTCTGTCGCTTTCAAGCGGGCCCAAGAAAGGATGCGACCTCGCTCTTGTCTTTTGAGAATCTCTCGCAGCTTGAGCCTGTCATTCTAGTCCTGTTTTTGAGGCGCCTCAAAAATAGACTCTCTCACAGCCTGAGTCTGTGATTCTAGTCCTGCTCTGCTCTCTGGTTCTCCTGCTCTGCTCGGGACCCGCCCACCCCTCCACCATCGCGTTTTAAGATGGGCTCTGTTCTCAAGACCCGACTTTCATCCTGCTTGGGCCCCACCCACCCCTCCACCATCGCTCCCCCTTGCAGTGTGACTCTCCAGGCGATCTTAGAGCGCCTGTTTCCCGAGGAGTATGAGGAGAGGAGGGGCGAGGTGGAGGGGGAGAAGGTGGTGGGGAGAGAGGTGAGTGGGAGCTGACCCAGATTATACTACGTATGGCTACCCGTCCTTTCAGTGCTGTTCTTTTCAGCAGTGACTCGCTTTGTTTTTCTCCCTACTCTGTTCCTTACCAGAAAACGGCCATTTCCAATCCAACCAAACCAACTCATTATCACTCACTCACACACAACAGACCCTGCCGCGCTTTGTCATGGACTCAGTGCTCCCGGGTCAGATGACGGTGCTCTCGGTCCAATGCTCTCTTCCACCCCCTCTCTTCCCTCCCCTGACTCTGGCCTTCCCTCCCCTCTCCCCTCCCCTCTCCCCTCCCCCAACACCCCCCCACCCTATCTGCCACCCCCGTGCCCACACCCTATCTATCCTCAGATCCTTCCGCTCTTTGTCATGGACTCGGTGCTCCCGGGGCAGAAGATGGCGCTCAACATATTCGAGCCGCGATACCGACTCATGGTGCGGCAAGGCGGGGCTTAACCGCGTGTGTGGGAGGCCGAGACAGTTTGTCGTCGGGGAGCGGGGGGGGGTTACAGGGTGGGTGCTCTAGATGCTCGAGCCCCCCAACCCAATGTGGAATCAGGGTGGGAAAGGGCGGATGGGGGAGTTAGGGGGTGAGGTGGGTGGTGGGAGGAAGGGGCAACGCTAGGGGGACTTTTTGGTTCTGCTGTTTACCTCCTGCCTTTTGGGTCGACTCAAATCGGGAATTGTTGGATTTCGATGGGGCTACTCTCATCAAGGTCTCTCATGCCTCGTGGTGTTCCCGTCTCTTTCTTCCCTTTCACGTCCTGTTCGTACATGTGTGTGCATTCGTATCTGGGCATGTGTATGCATGTGCCTGTGCATGTGCCTGCGCATGTGTCTGTGCATGTGTGAGTGCGTTCGTGTTTCGATGTATGTGCGCATGCTTTCACGGTGTGCATGCACGTGTCATGATGCATGCACGTGTCATGATGCATGCACGTGTCATGATGCATGCACGTGTCATGATGTGTGCAGATCCGCAGAATCATGGAGGGGGATCACCGCATGGGCATGGTACGTCAGTTCTGAGACGTCTCACAACTAAATCACTCTCACCAGATCTGCATTAAGTCTTGTCACACAGATCTGCAGAATCATGGAGGGAGGGGGGTCACCGCACGGGCATGGTACGACTGACTGCATGACGCCATGGCATGCGATGGCGTGGAGACTCATGACATCGCATGGCATAGGGCAGGATGTGATTGGCAGCTTGTTGTTATCTATGGTTTGCTGATTCGGGAATCATGCCATCGCATGGCATAGCATGCCGTCGCATAGCATGCAATTCCATGTCACTCCAGCCTATTCCATCCTCACGCCATGTGGCATGCGCCTGTGCTGTCTCTGCCGTCTCTGCCTCTCTCTGCATTCTTCTTGACTCGCAGGTGGGTGTGGACCGGCGCAGAGGGGTGATGCTGGACCTGGCATGTGAGGTCAAGATCGCAGAGTAAGCTGTGCCGCATGCCATCCTGTGCCATACCATTCCATACCAATTCATGCCATACTACCATGCCATGCCGTACTACCATGCCATGCCATACTACCATGCCATGCCATACTACCATGCCATGCCATACTACCATGCCATGCCATACTACCATGCCATGCCATGCGACTACTACCATGCCATGCCATGCGATACCACGTGCTGCTCACCACGCCCTTATCCCCAAGCTGCATTCCACCTCAAATTCCATTCAACCGGTATTCACTGCCTCACCAGCCTGAGTTTTGAGGCGCCCCATAAACTGCCTCACCAGCCTGTGCCCGTTGCTCCACTCTGTCATGTCATCCATATCGTAGTTACTCTCCTCACCGCATCCAGTTTTCAGAGGCTCAGAGGCTCTACAACCTGCTACCGGCTCATCGGCAGCACGTCCCCCCCGCCTTCCTCTTCCTCTCCTTCCTCTCCTTCCTCTTCCTCTCCTTCCTCTTCCTCTCCTTCCTCTTCCTCTCCTTCCTCTTCCTCTCCTTCCTCTTCCTCTCCTTCCTCTTCCTCTCCTTCCTCTTCCTCTCCTTCCTCTTCCTCTCCTTCCTCTCCTTCCTCTCCTTCCTCTTCCTCCCCTTTCATCCCCTCCTTTCTCTGCTCCTCCCAATCCTCGTCATCCCATGCCACCAGGTGTGACCCCTTGCCGGATGGCCGATTCTACATTGAGGTATGGGCTTGAACTGCGTACCGCGTGCCACATGCCGCGTGCTACCTAACACGTGCCGCATACATACTCCAATTCCGCATGCCGCATACATACTGCAAAACCGCATGCCGCATACATGCTGCAAAACCGCATGCCGCACGCATACTGCAAAACCGCATGCTGCATACATATTGCAAAACCGCATGCCGCATACATACTGCAAAACCGCATGCCGCATACATATTGCAAAACCGCATGCCGCATACATACTGCAAAACCGCATGCCGCATACATACCGCAAAACCGCATGCCTTGTGGCTCATCCTCCTGTAGCTGCATACAAGAATGGTCCGAAGACACCTGCTTCCCTCTCGCCCCCTGTTGGTATCGTCTCCCACTTACCCTTCCCTGCCTCTCCCCTGCCTCTCCCCTGCCTCTCCCCTGCCTCTCCCCTGCCTCTCCCCTGCCTCCCCTGGCTCTCCCCCCTCTCTACCACTACCCCCGTAGCCCTCTCATCTTCTCTTCTCTATGCTTCACTGCTCTCCCCCTTCTCTTTCCCCCTCCCCTCTCCCCCTCCCCTCTCCCCCTCCCCTCTCCCCCTCCCCTCCCCCCCTCCCCTCTCCTCCTCCCCTCTCCCCCTCCCCTCTCCCCCTACCCTCTCCCCCTCTCCCCCTCTCCCTCACCCCAGGTGGAGGGAATGCGACGGTTCAGCATCACTAGCAGCTGGGAGCAGGACGGGTGAGCGCAGGGAGGTGGGGCGGAGGGGGGAAGGGGAGGCTTAGGACAGGGGAGTGGATGGCAGGGGGGTGGGGGAGAAAAGGGGAATGATTGGAGATCTTGGGAAAAGAGGGTGGCCAGGGGAGGGAGGGGGGTGAAGGTGGTTTTGGGTAGGTTAGGTGGTCAGGTGGTGGTCAGGTGGTGGTCAGGTGGTGGTCAGGTGGTGGTCAGGTGGTGGTCAGGTGGTGGTCAGGTGGTGGTCAGGTCTTAAGTAGTGAGGTGACTTTGAGTCGACTCAAAAGTCACCTCTTTATATTTCTATTTAAAGTACTCATGCATGCTGTATGCGTTCACGGATGCATGTGTGTACGCATACATGCATATGTATGCATGCATGTGTGCGTGCACCAGGTACCGAGTGGCGCAAGTGGAGTGGATGCAAGACACGCTACCAGAGGCCGGCTCAGAAGAAGCAGCTAAGGTGAGTCACTGGGGGCGAAGGTGAGTCACTGTGGAGTGTGCATGTGTGTTTGGACTCAGTGAGTGTGTGTTTGGACTACCGAAAGGGGAGCAGTTTCCTTACTTTTGAACAAGTTTTGAACAATCGTGATCCTTCTGACAGACATGCGCACAGCGAGGGATCCATTTGAGTCGACTCAAAAGTCATTCTCGGTCAGACATGCCATGCGGGATCATTTGCTCTTTGCGAGAAGAGAATATGAGAAGACCAACTGGCGTGTGGGATGGGATGCAACCGTGCTGTGCAACACCCAATCGTTGCTCACTTTTACCCCTGTTCTATCTCACTCGCTCTCTCCCCTTCTCTCCCTCACTCTCCCTCGCAACTATCAGCAAGCAGAGGAGATGGCAGGGGTGGCTCTTTCAGCAGTCTAGCTCACTCCCTTTCAGTTGATGTTAACGCTTGTGCCTCTTTCAGTTGTTCACTCGCCCTCTCTCTCTCCCTTTCTCTCTCACGCTCTCCCTTGCAGCTGTCATCGTTAGCAGAGGAGGTGGCAGGGGTGGCAAGGGAGTGGGTGGCTCGAGTGCTCTCCACTTCTCGAGCCAGTAATGCCATTGTCTTAACCCTTCTCCTGTCTTAACCCTTCGCCTGCCTTAACCCTTCGCCTGTCTTAACCCTTCACCTGTCTTAACCCTTCGCCTGTCTTAACCCTTCGCCAGTCTAACCCTTCGCCTGTCCTACCCTTCACCATCCTCCTTTCTTTCGCCAAGGCCGCAGGTTCCCTCGCCCTTGCACAGTCCGCCTCCCGTATTTTGCTCCCTTGGTTGTTGTTTAGTCTCACAGCCTATCTGCATCCATACCACTTCTTGTTCTGTGCTCCCTGCGCGCTCCGTCTCTTCCATCCCACTCCATCTCTTCCATCCCACTCCATCTCTTCCATCCCACTCCATCTCTTCCATCCCACTCCATCTCTTCCATCCCACTCCATCTCTTCCATCCCACTCCATCCAGCTCAGAACTCCTTCCCACTCCTTTCCGTGCTTCCTCTGGATGTGATGGCACGGCATGTGATGGCACGGCATGTGATGGCACGGCATGTGATGGCACGGCATGTGATGGCACGGCATGTGATGGCACGGCATGTGATGGCACGGCATGTGATGGCACAGCATGTGATGGCACGGCATGTGATGGCACGGCATGTGATGGCACGGCATGTGATGGCACGGCATGTGATGGCATGACATGTGGCGGCATGACATGTGATGGCACGGCATGTGGGCCTGTGATGGCATGGCATGGCATGTGTTGATCAGATCGTCGCAGCAGGTTGATAGAGCATGTGCGGAGTGCAGGGGACATACCCCCGGCAAGCCAACCTGAGCGACTCAGCTTCTGGGTACTTGGGGAATGCATGCACATGCACATGCACACGCACATGCACACGCACATGCACATGCACACGCACATATACATGCACATGCACATGCACGTGCACGTGCACATGCACACATACATGTACACAACACATCATCACCCATCGGCTCAGACCCATGCACACCACACATGCTAGCTCATACCCACCCTTCACACTGAAGTTGAGCATGCTGTAAGCATGGCAGCCTGTGAGCATGGCAACCTCCAGCAACAACACTCTCCCCTATCTTCAATCACGCTTTCATGTTGTGTCAGTCAGCAACCACTGTGAACCCGTCTTGTCTTTTTCCCCTCCCCCCTCCCCTCTCCCCCCTCGACCCCGCCCCTCTCATCCCCCCTCCACTTCACCAGCTGGCCAACCTCCTTCCAATTGCGCCTGAGGAGAAACTTTCCTTCCTGCGGATGACAGACCCAGCAGAGGTGAGGGGGGGGGGAGGGGGGGAGGCGATGGGCGTGCGTGGGAGAAGCGGGGGAAGGGGAGGGAGGGAGAGGTTGGGGTGCTCGAGTGACTCAATAGCAACCTCCTTCCAGTTCCGCCTGAAGAGAGCTTTTCTTCCAGCGGGTGACAGACCCAGCAGAGGTGAGGGGGAGGGAGGGTAGCTCTCTGTGTGAATGTCCAGCTTGCATACAAGTAAACCCAACCCATGTATGCCACCCATGGGTTTGCCGTGCTATGCACGTGATGTTCTTGCCCCTCCACTGTCTCATCCCATCTCAATCAGTCATCACTCCGTCAGTCCATACATCCACTCATCGCCATACAATTCCATCTCCCTCCACTCTCCGAGCCCCTCACCTGCCTTCTTCTCTCTACCTACCTTTCCTCGCCTCTCTTCCACCCTTCCACCTTGTCTCTCTCCCCCCACCACCTGTCTCTCTCCCCCCACCACCTATCTCTCTCCCCCACCCCCTGTCTCTCTCCCCCACCCCCTGTCTCTCTCCCCCACCCCCTGTCTCTCTCCCCCACCCCCTGTCTCTCTCCCCCACCCCCTGTCTCTCTCCCCCACCCCCTGTCTCTCTCCCCCACCCCCTGTCTCTCTCCCCCACCCCCTGTCTCTCTCCCCCACCCCCTGTCTCTCTCCCCCACCCCCTGTCTCTCTCCCCCACCCCCTGTCTCTCTCCCCCACCCCCTGTCTCTCTCCCCCACCCCCTGTCTCTTTCCCCCCACCCCCTGTCTCTCTCCCCCACCCCCTGTCTCTCTCCCCCACCCCCTGTCTCTCTCCCCCACCCCCTGTCTCTCACCCCCACCCCCTGTCTCTCTCCCCCACCCCCTGTCTCTCTCCCCCACCCCCTGTCTCTCTCCCCCACCCCCTGTCTCTCTCCCCCACCCGGTCTCTCGTCTACAGCGCTTGTCTCAGGAGCTCACTCTGCTGCGAGCGCATCCCCTCACCTCGTGCCACCTGCAGTGAATCGCCCCATCCCCATCCTACCAGTCAGTCAGTCACCCTATCAGTAGCCCCCTCGGTCTCACCACCCCACTTGCTGCGATGCGCTGTCACGTGCCCCAATGCTCCAATGCACGACGCCGTGCTGCTAGTGACTGGCTTGCCAGGCTTCCGCGGCTGGTGTGTCATCACGTCGTCATGCCGTGGCCATTGTACCATATCCCGATCCCGGCTCAGAGTGTGGCGCTGTGTTTCCTGTGCACGCACAACATCCTCCCCTCACAGTCCTGACTCCTGATTCCTGTTCCTGATTCCTTGTACAGATACTCCGTTGCTCCACCCTGAGCATCATGCATGCTGTCTCCCTTCCCGCACCCCTATAGTTGATCTCTTGACCCCACACAATTTATGACCTGCTCTGCTCTGCTCTCAGTAGTAATTGCTCTCTCATCTCATCTCTTTCTTGAACCCTGGGAAGCGAAGAGTTGGTTATCGGTGTAATTGATAAAGCTTGCTTTCTTGTCCTTTGCAATAGGCATCGTTCTCATTTCAAGTGGCATGGTACAATAGTCGCTTACTAGCTTATAAGAAGCTAAACATGCACACATCATGATCCTAGTTGTGCGCTCCCGTTCAAGTGACCGACTGTCAATTGGAGATGGGCGATTGACTAGAGGGGGGGTGGGTGGGAAAGTTGACTGAGCCGTTCGAAAAATGAGAGACGTGGGCGGAGGTAAATGAGCTCCAACCCACGTATATGTAGTTGGAGAAGGGCGAGTAGCGCGCTTCGACGATGCCCAACGCTTCAGTACAATCTGTCAAACATGTGTATTTGTCATGTTTGTATAGACTGTATAGAGTCACCTCTTAGAGGATACAAAACTTAGATATATTTGTGTGTACTCTCACTTTACCATTATTCAATTATTTTGATATGGTATCAGAGCAGTTCGTTCCGCGTGGGCCTGCTCCTCGCGTTTCCGCTGCGTGCTCGTTTCTCTCTCTATCTCGCGCTGCCATGGCGGCCGCGTCAAGCTGCTGTGGCCGCGTCGTCGTGCCGCGGCGCCGCCGTCGACGTCCATGGCGCCCGCGTCCAGCTGCTGTGGCCGCGCCGTCGTGCCGCAGCTCCGCCGTCGCGTCAAGATGCTGTCGCGACGTGACGGCGCCGTCACGCTGCCGCGGCGTCTACGCGACAGCGCGCGGTCGGCGTAACGGCGACGTCGTGCTGCCGTCGCAACGTCGACGCCCCGCTGCGGCATCGACGCCGCTCCATGACGGCGTCGTCGGGCTGCAGCCGGCCGCGTGACGCTTGTGGCGCCGCTAGACCGGCCGCCCGCATGTCAGCCTGTGGCGCCCCCCCCCCCCCCCCCCCCCCTCCTTCCCTTGTGCCCTCTTCCATTCCGCAGACGACGGCTGACTCCCGCCGGCCGTCCCACCGTCGCGGGGCCTGGCCACGTCACCGAGAGGTGCGGGTGCCGCCGCCGCTGCCGCTGTTGTCGAAGCCGCCGCCGCCGCCGCTGTCGCCGCTTGCGTCGGGGCCACGCAGCCGCACGCCGCCGCCGCCGCCGCTGTCGACACTGCCGCCGCTGCCGCCGTCGCCGCCGCAGCCCCTGCGGTCGACGTCGCCGCCTCACGCGCCGTGGGGTCGACTGACCTAGAGTCGCTGTCACTGTGGCTAGAATGGGGGTGCTAGGTTAGGGGGTGTGGGTGTGTGTGGGCATGTGACTACCAAGCCTAGGGGGTGTGTTCAAATTATATAAGTTATAATTTAATATAGGCTTGGTAGGTTGTTACTGAACCTTTCTGTAGGGGGTACAAACCCCTCCTTGTACTCCCCTCTCTTCTAATCCAACACCTTTTCTCTCCTCAACTTTCCTAGCACCTAAAACCTCTCGCCATTCTCATGGCTCCTCCTAGCTCCTAGCTAAACCTTGTGCCATTCTATGGCTTCCTAGCTAAGCTAGTTTCTGACATGGTGCGGGCGGGGGTAGTGGTGGGGTCGGGTCGCCTGGTGCTGGAGCGGACGAGGGGACCCTGCCCAGTCCAGCTGAGTCGCCGCCCCTGCAGTTGCAGCAGCCGCCGCAGTCGCAGCCTTCGCAGCAGCCGCAGCAGCCGTCGCAGACGCGGCAGACGAGTGTTCTCCCGCCAGGGTGGCCCGGCGCTGGCGGTGGACGGGCGCGTGGTGGTGTGCCGCGTGGTGGCTCTGCCGGCGGGCGTTGTCAGTACCAGATCCAGACCGGTCCTCGCCGCGGTTTCGTTTGCGGTAAGATCGGTCACTCCACTCCCCGCTGCTTTCGTCGCCTAGACGACCTCTTTCGTCAGCGTTTCGGCCCGTCGCCAGACCTCCCGGACTGGCACAGTTTGCTTAGTCGTCAGATTCAGATCTTTGATATGGACATGGATGCCATTGTTTCTGCTCTGCATGTGATGTATGCCGATGACTCTAGTGTGCTTCCGACTTATTACTCACTGTTGCCTAATGTAGGTGTGCCTAGCTTAGCCTCCCCTGCTGCGTCAGGCGTAGGATCCCCTGCTTTGTGTAGTCTTGGTGCTTCTGCCGTCGTTCCGTCGCCAGACCCCTCGGCTTCGCTTTCCTTCACCTTGGACTCTGGCGCCTCTCGGTGTTTCTTCCGCGACTCCACCACCCTGACGCCGCTTCCTGTTCCTGCTGCCGTTTCTCTTGCTGACCCCTCCGGCGGCCCGGTAGTCGCCCGCAGTTCCACCACCCTTCCCTGTCCGGCGGTTCCTTCGGGCTCTCTTACAGGTCTGCATATCCCCTCGTTCTCCAGGAACCTAGTTGGTGTCGGCTGCCTCCAGGACCTTGGCGTCACCACTACGTTCCCTGGTCACGAGCGGTATGCTGTCTGTACCGAGGCCGCCACTGGTGCCCCCCTGTCCACGTTCCCCCGGGACCCGGTGTCCGGCCTGTTCACTCTGGACACCGTGCCCCCCCCGGCTGGAGCGCCCCCTCAGGTGGCTGTGTCTACCCAGGTTGCTGCTGCCTGCTCCTGTCGCTCCCTCACTCACCCGACCCTCCTGTGGCACCACCGCCTAGGTCACCCTGCGCTCCCGCGTCTGCGTCACATGTCCCAGCACGGTCTTGTCCTTGGTCTCCCAGGTTCACTCCCCGCGTTTCCCTCCTCCCCAGCTCCACCTTGCACGCCCTGTGTCGAGGGTCGGCTTCGCCGTGCCCCTCACTTCTCCTCGTTCCCCCCTACCGCCGCGCCGCTGCAGACCCTGCACCTGGACGTCTGGGGCCCCGCCCCCGTCCCTGGGCCGCGTCGCGAGCGCTACTTCCTTGTGCTTGTCGACGACTTCACTCGTTACACCACAGTCTTTCCCCTGGAGCGCAAGGCCGACGTGCCTGGTGCCCTCATCCCCTGGCTTGTCTCTGCGCGTGTCCACCGCGGTCTCTCGTCTTGCGTCTTCACTCAGACCGTGGTGGCGAGTTTGCCTCAGGTGTCCTTGGTCGCTTTTGTCGTGCGGAGGGCATCACCCAGACGTTCACCCTACCAGACTCCCCACAGCAGAATGGGGTCGCTGAGCGACGCATCGGCTTGGTCATGGAGGTCGCTCGCACCTCCATGGTCCATGCCGGTGCACCCCATTTTCTGTGGCCGTTCGCTGTGCGCTACGCTTCTCACCAGCTTAACCTGTGGCCGCACCCTCAGCAGCCGCAGGTTTCACCGACCCGTCTGTGGACTGGGTCTCCTGGTGACGCGTCTGCGTTCCACGTCTGGGGCTGCCTTGCTCACGTCCGTGCCTCCGGCACGGACAAGCTCACTGCCCGCACCCTTCCCTGCGTCTTCCTCGGTTTTCCCCTTGACGCGTCCGACTGGCACTTTTACCACCCGCCGTCTCACCGCTTCTTTCACTCTCGTGACGTCACCTTTGACGAGTCCGTCTCCTACTACCGCCGCTTCCCCCACCGTGGTCCCCCGGTTACCCCCCCCCTGTTCCTGGTCACCCCTTCCCCGGTAGTCCCTGCCCCTCCTCCTCCTCCTCCCCGTCCCGCCCCCTCTGGTGTCTCCCATGTCACCCCCCTTCCGTCCGTGGACCCGGTTGAGGAGTCTTCTGACTCTGGTGGCCCTCCGGTGCAGTCCTCGCCGGCCGCCCCTCCCCAGGTGTCCCCTCCCCAGTCCCCTCCTCCGCCGTCCCTGCCGCCACTGCAGCCGCCGCCGCCGCCGCCGCCGCCCCCGTTCGCTGACTCTGGGGGTGCTCGTCCCGGTCGCCCTGAGGGTGGTCCCTCTGGGGGTGCGGGTGTGGAGAGTGCCGGTGGTAGCCGAGGAGCAGCTTGCGGTCCAGGTGTCGCCGTTGTGCCGCCGCAGCAGCAGTCCCCGCCGGTGTCCGCCCTTCGCCTGCTCGGCCTTCCGTCCCCCGACCCTGCGTCGGTTCCTCCCCGACCGTCTCCTCCTCTTCCTGTCTACGGCCCTGTTTTCCCTCCGCCGGACTCGTCCCCGGCCCGTCTCCCCCCTCGTTCCCCTCCTGTGTCCCCTCCCCTGTCTCCTGATCCGACTCCTCCATCGCACGTCTGGTCTCACCGTCCCTCCCGTGCTCGTCCTGCCTCGCCTGTCCTGCGCTCCCACCCTATGTTGCTTCGTTCACACGCGTCTCGTCCTCCCCTTCTGCCGTCACCTCCTCCGTCCTCCCTTGTTGTTGCGCCCCCCCCGCTGTCCGACTACCTTCGTGCCGCTCGTCCTCTCGTTCCTCGGGTCCTTGCCTCTCTCGTTACCGACCCGTCTGTTCCAGTCTCGTGCCTTGACGCTCTTGTCGCTGCTGTCGCTGACTTCGCCTCTACCCGCCGCCTTGACTATGCCACCGCTCTGGTCTCTGACCCTGCCTGTCCTCCGTCTGTCAGGGGTGCTCCTGCCCTTGGCAGTGACGTCCTGGAGGACCGCCAGTTCGAGCTTGCTTTCCTCTCCGAGGCTGCTCCCCATCTCTGTTCCATGCTGCTAGTCCCTGAGGGTGACCCAGACGCTTTCGACATCCCGACCCCTCGCACTTACGCTGAGGCGACTTCGGGACCCTGGGCCTCGCAGTGGATAGCTGCCATGGAGCAGGAGATGGCATCTTGGAGATCCACCGGCACCTTCGTCGACGCAGTTCCCCCACCTGGGGTGAACGTAGTCGATGGCCGCTGGCTCTTCAAGGTAAAGCGCCCTCCTGGAGAGCCGCCTGTCTTCAAGGCGCGCTATGTGGCTAGAGGCTTCAGTCAGCGCGAGGGGGTGGACTTCTTCCAGACTTTCGCTCCGACCCCGAAGATGACTACTCTTCGGGTTCTGTTACACCTAGCTGCTCAGCGTGACTACGAGCTTCACTCCCTCGACTTCTCCACTGCCTTCCTTCAGGGCAGCCTACACGAGCAGGTCTACCTGCGCCGCCCTCCGGGCTTTACTGGCACCTTCCCTCCTGGGACCCAGTGGCTCCTGCGGCGCCCCGTCTACGGCCTGCGCCAGGCTCCCCGTGAGTGGCACGACACTCTGCGTGCTACGCTTGCTGACCTGCAGTTCTTTC